TGTGAAAACATGATAAGCTTGCTTGACTGTATCCCAATCCCTTCCTCTGATACTTCGCCAGCCCAGTGTGGGAAAAAATCAGCAGGCTGACTATGCCTGGTATGGGGCTCCATTGCGGGGAGCAAAATAATGTCCACAAATCTATGAATATGCTAGTCACATAGGAAAGGGGAATTAAGGTTGCAGATGAAATTAAGGTTGCTTGAGATAAATCAGTATGTTGAAGAGATGTGTGCACTCCCATGCACATCATAGCATTGTTCATGATAAAACAAGATATGCAATTAGCTGAGTTGTCCGTAGGTGTGTGAATAAAGAAAATGTGATATGTGACACCATGGAGTATTATTCATCCATAAAAAGGAATGATATCTTGTCATTTGAAAGAACATGGATGAAATTGAAGGACATTATGCTAAGGGCATTATGTCAGGCAAGAAAGACAAACACTGCATGTTACCAGTCACATGTAGGTGCTAAAATAGTTGATTTCTTACAAGTGTAGAATAGTGGTCATTAAATGCTATGAAGAATGAAGGAAGAGGAAGCAGAAAGTTAGATAAAAGGTACAAAAATATAGTTATATAGGAGGAATAAATTTTAGTGGTCCCATCAGTAGGGTGATTACAATTTACAACAATTTATTTTCTATTGTATAGAGAGCAACAGTCCAAATGTTCCCATTTAAAGAGATGGAAATGCTAATTATCCTGATTTGATCCCTATGCACCTTTACATGTATCATATTGTCATGCTGTATCCCACAGATATATATAAAGATGATGTGCCAATTAAAAAAGTTTTTGTGGTGCTGAATGTTGGATCCAGGATCCAGGATCTTGAGCATGCTAGTCATGCTCTTCATTTTTTAAAATGTAAATTGAACCTTCTTTTTTTTGTTTTGTTCTTTGAATTGTTTTCTGCTTCAGATATTTGCCTGGGTACAGGATTTAATAATAATAGTAGTATGATAACAATACTAGTGGTCAGTAGTCATTTAGCACTTCATATGTGCTTGGTGCTATCCTATGCTCTTGGTAAACTTATTTAACACTCTTGCTAACCCTAGGAGGGACATACTATCATCATAACATTTTTTACAGGAAAAGAGAAGTTGAAAGGATTGAAACAACTTGACCTATGATAACCGGGCAAAGAGCTAATATAACAGCTATCATTTCCCTTTCTTCATGAGAATTTGACCTTTGGTTGAATTCCTAGCTCTGTTACCCTGGTAACCTGATAAGAGCCAAATGTTTCTAGGCAATATTACCTGTGATAAAAATACTGGATTGGTTACAGGGAACCAATCTGTTAGCTGGCTAATATTGGGAACATCTGTGAGGAGCTGTATATAAACTATACATACCTGAAAGGGCTTCATATCCTGGGCCCCTCTGAGACTGTGACCCTGGTACCTGGAAGCAAGGTCTCTGGAGATGCTGTGAGAGGAAGTGCTCCTGGGGCATGCCAGGGGAGCTCCTGCACCTGTCTGCTGTGGCCTCATCTTGCTGCACTTGGGCTGCTGGCCAGGTGCTGGACTGTCCTAGTTGATGAACTCTTCTCCATGCTGTGATGCTGGCCAATATCTTGTGTTCTTCTGAGTACAGTGATGCCAAGCATGGTTATCTTGTGAATCTGGACATTCCATTTGACCTTAACAGTTGGTTGGTGTTGGTCAGATGGTTATGTAGTTATAAACCAGAAAAATGGAAGAAGTGGAGAAATTAAAACTGGAGCGTGTACATTCTGATCTAATGAACAAACTTTTAATTACCTCCGTAGGTAACCTCAGGGAGGCCTGAACAGGATGGGTGTTTTAGTCATTTCCACCTGGTTAGGACAAAATACCTAATACCTACAATTTGAAGAAGGTGGTGTTTATTTTGGCTCACAGTTCAGAACTTTTGGTCCACACTCAGCATTAACACAGGAACAGCATGGAAGAAGAGTCTGGGTGGGGAAAGCTAGTCTTGTCATGTTGATCAGGAAGCAGTGAACAAGGGGCAGAGTTAGGGAAAAGATATATGCCCTTCCAGGTCACACCCCCAGGGACTGGCCTCTAACTAGGCCCAACGTCCTAGCAGCAAATGTGCCTTAGGGCCTCACCTTCCAAAAATTGTGCTCTGAGCAGAGGAGACCCTTGCGGGACACCCAGATCCAAGCCATAACACTGGATAACTCTATTAATGTCCCAGAGCACACATTTAGCTAGACCTGGTTTGTCTGCTGCTTGAATCATGCTCTTGACCAACAATTAATAGATAACCATGAAGTAAAAAGGTTTGTCACAAGGGGGTCATTTAGCGCCACCTGAGTCCTCCTTCATTCAGCTCCACAAGTGGAAGGGGCTCATCTTGATGGTGTAGGAGTACAGGAAAGAAGCTCAGCATCTCTACATTTGTGCTTATTTACTTTTGCGGTTGTCGTTTATGCTCCTTTATTTTTTTCTCCTCCCTTAAAAAGAAGTTAGTTTGAACTTTTTTTAGACTTAGAGAAAAGGTGGAAAACACTGATGTTCCTGCATACCTTTTCACCCAGGTTCCTTAATGTTAACATCTTAGTAATCATACTACACAGATCACAGTGAGAGGGCAGTTTCTAACTAAACTGCAGACTTTGTTTAGATCTCACTGATTTCCCCACTAATGTTCATTCTCTGTTCTGGGGTCCTGTCTAGATCTTACAGTGTATTCATTATTTCTCTTTAGTGTCCTCCAATTTATAAAAGTTCCTCGATCTTTACATTTCAAGGCACTTTGGAAGACTGCTGATCAATTATTTTTTGTAGAACTTCCCCCAACTTGGATGTGTCAGTATTTCCTATGATGAAACTGAGGTTATGAATTTTGGGAAGAATTCCTAGGAATGATGTTGTATCCTTTTCAGTACATCAGATCAAAGAGTCGTGCATGGTGTTGATATGATTTATTACTGATGTGCATTCTTTTGTATTTATTTTGTCTTTTTTTAAAAATTCTTTTAACTGTCCAACATACAGCACATTAAGATGGGGGTTTTGCTGCGATGGTTAGTTACTCTGGAAGCGTGCCAGGTTCAGACAGGGCTGCCATTGCTGCTACCATTTTCTTCCATATTATATTTTCTCATTGTCTTTGTAACTCTTTTAATTTTGCATCTACTCCCAGAAATGGAAAACTGTTCTCTCAGATTGAATTTTTTAGCAAAAACAGGTAGGCAAACCCATGGCCCTTTTACTCCTCTGTCAACAGATTGTGTGTGTGGTGGTTGTGCTCTGGTGTTGCCAGCCTGGGAGATTTGGTCATGGTGATTAAAGCTTCCCTGCATCTGCTGTGCCTGGAGAGGAGCTGCTGGGTCTTAGCTAGCCATGTTTTCTAAAGAGTTCAGCCCTGAGCAGGAAGAAGCCCTGACGACAGGTCTGTGGGGTTTCCCTCTCCCTTATCCTTGGTGGCATCTGACCCAACCAAGTGTGCACTCGGGAGTGGTTACCCGTGCTTTATTGTTGGGCAATGAAGTATTTAAAACAAATAAGATTTTCTAATTTTACTGAGGTCAAGATCGGGTAGCCGAGTGTGGAGTTTGGAGTCAGGGTATGGGTGGCAGATAGTATTGGTTCTTGGTTAGGAAGTGGAGGGCCCTGCTTCCAGCAAGGTGCACACCTGAGAATATGTCCTCCTTCTCAACCATCGAACTCTGTGGGGAAAATGACCCATAAATCCATAAGTAAGTGAATTAAACCAAAGATTTCAAGTAAGTGGAATTTTTGTCTTGAATTTTCAAGAATAAAGTATGAGTTCTTATCAGAAATCATTAAAAATTAACACATCTCTAGATATACTCCAGAATAATTAAAATCACCCCAGTGTCTCCACAACCTAGTTTTATAATTCCAGGCTGATGGAAATGATAACTGGCTCCTTGTTTGGAACTGCAGGCTTTGTGTTGAGGGTCCCATGGCACACTGCATTCAGTGCACTGTGTCCACTGCAGAAGAGAAGGCAGGAGGCAGTCTCTTTCGATTTGTGTGTCTTTTGGATAAGAAGGTGATGTAAACCAGGCTAGAGCGCTGCATTTCTTTATTTTGGGTATGGGCAAAACAGCTGAACTCTAGGACCAGTAGAATAACTTTCGCCATTCCTTATCTGCATCTTTTCAGTTCCCAAGACACCACTGATCTGTTTCTTACATCTCCTTCAAAGGTTTTATTTTCCATACAGAAATCTAATCTTATTCTTTTCCCCTTTGGCTACTGTGTTACTTATCTGAGAGTATTTTTTTCTGAAGATTCCTGCTCTTCAGATTCATAAGAATTGTTAAAATTATGTATCTCCTTTTCTTAAAAAGGTCTCAGATCTTTTAAAAAGTTTTAGAAATTAAATGTTGGGGTCCAGGTGCAGTCCTTGTTACCCTCTGGAATCCACTTGTCCTTCCCTCTTCAGAGGTAGCTACTGGAGTTCCACAGTTACTATTCTTCACCGTATCTATGAATTCATAAATAATTTGTAGCATTGTTTTAAAGGCTTTCAAGATCTATGTGAACAATTTCATACTGTAATCTTCTGTTTATAACTTTTTAACTTGAAGTTATGTTTTTGAACTACAACTATGGAGATGTGGCTCCAATTCGTTCTTTTGGACTGTTGCATAATATTTCATGTTTGCAGAAAATCCACCATTTATTATTTGTTGTCTCTACATCTTTTGCTTATTTGATATAATGTTACAATGTATATAGTTCAAAATAAGCTTATTCTCTCTAATGCATGTAAGTACAATTATACATTTTGAGACCTATGGCCCAAGAAAGGACCTCAGGGTTGTTAATGATCCTTTCATTTCTTTTTATGCTTTCTGCATGACTTTATTGAAGAGATGAATAGATGGAAGGTAGAATGAATGAATGAGTGAGTGAATTCTTGAAATCTTTTAATAAAATTGCCAAACCTTGGAAATTCATCTGTAAAATCATCATGCCAATTGGAATACCACATTGATCCTTAATCTCCTTTTCCTTCTAGATGTTGAAATGCTTCAGGCAAATACATCTAAGACAGTCTCTGGAGATGGTTTCTCTAGGCCTACTAAGGATTCTATGATCCGCAAGTTTTTAGAAGGTGAGTTGTCGCAGAAAAAGAAAAGCAGACATGCCTGATTCCATATGAAGGCATGAGGGGCCACATACATGCTCTGCTCCCAGTGCTATCAGCCCCGCCCTCTCCTGTTGGCCTGCTACATGCAGGCCAGAAGTTTCTACCACTAGAGCCAGTTAATTGGCTAACCCGTTGCTTCCAGTAAGTTCTCTTTAAAGTTCACATGCATATTTTTATTTGACCAAAAATTTTTAAGTGCATACAACATACTAAACACTATTATGGCTGTTGGAGTTGAGGACACAAACAGTAACATATGATCAATTTCTTAAGGATATTTTACTTTCTGATGAAGGAGGGGAAGATACATACATCATAGTCAAGGCTATGTTGCATAGTGGTAAAGAATGTGGATTCTGTTCTAAACTCAGTTCCCCCTGCAGATGTCTAGAAAAACATTAAGCAAGTTATTGAGGTGCTCTGGGCCTCAGTTTCTTCAGCTGTAAAATGAGAAAATATTGTGACAATTAAATGAGTTGTACGTTAGACCTCAGATAGGGCCAAGCACATAAGCATATAACAAAGGTCTATAATTGTTATTATTATTGAGTGTTTCATACATGGAAGTGTTAAATTACATGAGTAATTCCTTAATTCTGTCTAATCATTGACAACTGATAGTGGGTCCATTAATCAAATAGATACAGAAGACAAAGTCCGGAGAGAATGGTGTCTTAGTTACTTTTTTCTCATTGCTGAGATAAAATACTGACACCCAAAAATTAAAGGAGGAAAGATTTATTTAGCTCACAGTTTGTATAGATATCAGTCAGTAATTGGCTGGCTATAAGGCAGGGTGGCACATGGCAGAGGGGCAGCTGTTCATAGCAGCAGAAAACAACAAAAGCAGTGAGAGAGGGACAGAGACAAAACCAGACAGAAACAGAGAGAGAGTGACATGAAAGAGATCTTTCTGTTATTTATACTGTAATCAGGTTAGCCCACCCTATGGTAGATGTAGCTCTCACAACTCTTAATCCCAGCATTGGACCATGAATCAATCACAAACTCTAGATTCAACTGCCTGTGAGAAGCCTATACCCCACGATCACATGAAGCTTTAGGGGGACATCTAGACACAAATCATAACATTTGCCCCTGACCTTCACCAAAGACTCATGTATATTTCTTTACAGGGAAAGCTAAATTTAATCCATCTTTAAGAATTGCCTAAATCCTAATAGATTCAGCAGGACTGAAAAGTCCAAGGCCCAAGACTCCTCTGAGATTTAAAATAAACTCTCTTATAAGGGATATAACTGCATGCATGTTTGAGTGTGTAGGATGGAAAAGCATATTACTGAGCTTTTATTGGATCATTGAACAGAACTGTCTGCAATCTCACTGTATGAATGTCCACTTTATATGCTTTAAATTTATAATTTGGACAACTGTTTCTAAGATGACAATGTGTAACCTATTAACTAGTGATTTCTTACTGTATATTTTTTTCTTGAAATTCTGTATTATTTGTACCCTGTTACTGCTTTCTTTTTTATTTCCTTTCTTTTTTCTCTTTAAATAAAAAACAAAACAAAACAAAAAACTCTCAGCTGTGAGCCCTGTACAAATTAAAAGAAGGTTACAGTTCCAACATTCATTAGTATAAGACAAACATTTCCATTCCAAAAATTACGAACGGGAATACAACCAGGGGAATAGGACCAAAGCAAATCTAAAACCCAGCAGGGCAAACATTAAGTCCTGTAGTTGTATGTGTGACATCTGAAGCAATCTGTGGCAAGATGTAAACTCCAAAGAGCTATGATGGATTTGCCCCTATTATGGTTTGTGTCTGGATGTCCCCCCGCCCCCAGAGCATCATGCAGTCATGGGGGGCAGCCTTCTAGAATTTGTGATTAGATCATGCTCCAATGCCAGGTTTATGGGTGTGAGTACTACACCCACCCTAGAGTAGGTAGCCTACATACAATATAAAGGAAAGAGTCTTTACTCCATGCTCCTCCCTTTTTGCTCTTGTTGCTTTGTTGTTTTCTGCTGCCATGAACTGCTGCCCATGTGTCACATCACCCGGCCTTGGAGCAAGCTGATTATGCACTGAAGCTTCCACAAACTGTGAGCTAAATAAACCTTTCTTCCTTTAACTTTGAATGTCAGGTATTTTGTCCCAGCAATGAGAGAGAAGTAACCAATAGCTTCAGCATGGCTGAAAAGTCCAAGTCCAAGCACCTATGGATCTTCTGGTGGTTGTAGCTCTCATGGCTTCTCACTTAGGCTCACTCTGCTCCCTCTTTGCAGTTTTCATCAGGTGATCCATGTTCCTGGCTTCTCCAGACTCCTAGGGTCACCAGTGTACCTTTGGTTTCACACTATGCCATGTACCTAAAACCAGTGCCACAGGGATGATGCCACGGTCTGCTATGAGCTAGAGTAGAAGCCAGGCTTCCCTCCCCTTACTCACAGGGGTCAAGTGCCTGGATCAGTGAGTACTGTGAATCCAATTCTAAGGAGCAAATTCTCTGTGCTGCCACCATTTTGGAACATGGTATGCCTATGGCCTTTCTGGAGTATGGTATTCTGAGGGTTTCTTCTCAAAACAGTCTTTTACTTTTGCAGTTTTGAGGCTGCAAAGAGTAGAGTCCTGCTGCTTCTTGTCATATTCTCAGGCCATCTTTTCTGTTCTTCTGTTTCATCTCAGCAATCAAGGTCTCTGCTTTATCTTTGCAGTCCACAACTTTACTGTCTGGCCAAACTCACAAGATTTTAAATCATTCTGATGGGCTCCTTGCTCTTGATTTTCAACATAAATCTGGCTGAAAGTCCCCCAAAATAGCCATGGCACTGTCTCAACATTGGACTGCCATGAAATTCCTTCTGCAAGATTAGTTAGTTTGCCGTCCTTAATATCAGTCTCAAGCAAGTCTCTGGGAAAAAGGAAAATATAGCAAATTTTCTGCCAATTCATAACACACATTATCTGGAGTCCAACAACCAATGCAGTCCTTCCCAGCAGAAACCTCCTGAGCCTAGTCTTTCCCAGCAGGCTTTCTATCAGCCCTTTGAGTTCTGACCAGTATCTCCTATACAGAACAGCCTCAAGTGTTCCTACTCTACTTTTTCAGCCAGCACTGCTGAACTTTTCCAATCTTTTCTCACAAGCCATTCCCAAAGGCTCTTGAACCACATGGTCAGGTACAGTCACAGTAATGACCCCACTTGTCTGGTACCAAATAGCAACACCCAAAGTTAAAGAAAGAAGAGTTTATTTAGCTAAGTTTGTATAAGTTTCAATCCATAATCAGCTAGCTTCAAGGTAGGGTGGCACATGGAAGAGTGGCAACTGTTCATGTTGGCAGAAGTCAGCAGAAGCATCGAGAGAGAGAAAATGAGAGAGAGATGAGAGACAGAGAGAGACAGTTGGAGAGAGAGAGAGAGAGAGAGAGAGAGAGAGAGAGACCTCTTTCTGTTTCTTATATTGTATGTAGGGTACCCACCCAAGGGCAGTGTAGCAGTCATGCCCTTAGTCTCAATATTGAACTGTCAATCAATCATGAACTGTAGATTCAGCTGCATACCAAAGGCCCACACCCTCATGATCATTTGAGGCTTTGACATCCAGACACAAACCATAACAGATGGGGCTCTCAAAAACAAGTGGTTTTGGTAGTAAAGAGGATGAAAAAAATCTCTAAAGCAGTGACAGACAAACCACAGCCTGCCCAGCCATGTGTTTTTGAAAATAAAGTTTTATCAGAACATACTATGCTCATTCATTTAGAGTTATCTGTGGGTGTTTACATGCTACCAGGGCAGAGTTGAGGGCTTTCAACACACAACATGACCTGAAATATTTCCCATTTTTACCTCTAAAATAGACTTGCTGACCTCTGCTTTAAAGCTAAGTGTTCCCTGAGAGAGGCATCCTGAGCAGCTACAGCACCTGGCCCCAAGAAGGCAAGAACAACCCTGAACATGGAATTTGTTCCGCCAACATTGTGATTTGGGCTCAGGCCTGCCTTGCTGTCTTTAGCAATGTTGCAGGCCTAGTTTATTGCTTTATGCATGACACTACGTAATCCTTACTGCGACCTTGTAAGGTGGTACTGTCATCTTCATTTTGTGTGGGAGGAGTCACAGGCATGGTGAGGTGATGTGCCCAAGGTTGTGCAGATATAAGCAGAGTCTAGGACACAGGTTTCAGAGCTTTGCTCAGAGTTCCTGCTGTGATGCTTGGGTACACTGCTACCCTCTGAAAGGAAGTAAAACTGTCCCTTTTTTCTGAAAGGGTACCATGTGGCTACATGGTAAGAAAACTAGGTTAGGAATTAGATGAGATTGTCATGGTCTCATTTGGTCCTCAGTTGAAGAATAATTTTCCAGTCATTAAGCTGCTAGTGTGTACCAAACACTGATGCCCAGGCATCAGTAACACTCAGTTATGCCCATAGAGAAGACAGACACACACTCCAAGTGAGCTTTCATTCAGTAGGAAAAGTACAGGGTGGTATAAAGGAAAAGGCACCAAGTGTGATGGGATGGTTTGGGATTGAGTGTGGTGGTGAGCTGTCTGGTGGGCTCAAGAGGGTTTTTACACAACAGATTCTGACCCTGTGCTTGTCACTTACCTTAATCTTGGGTCGGATGTTGTGTCCTGTAAGACTCTGATAATGAAGTGGGGGAAGGTGTCACCTTAGGAATGCAACATACAGTAGGTATTTGATACATGCTAACTGCCAGAGTGGTAATTTCCAGACTGTTTCCTTCAGCAGTGATCCTCAAACTTGAGTACGTATCAGGCCACATGGAGGACTTGTTAAAACATAATCTCTGGTCTCACCTGCAGAATGCCTGATTCAGGGGGTCTATCGGGATGGGACTCAAGATTCATCTTCTTGACTTCCGTAAGTGGTTCAGGGGCTCAGTTTGAAAACCTCAGGTCTGGAGCAGCACTTTATTTTATTTCTTTAACAGTAGAAGCTTCTTTTGATTTCATCTCTGCCTATACTGTTGTTTACTATCATAAAATAATACATGCAAATAATAAAAATTCAGTATTTTAAAAATAAGCAGTGAAAGGTTATCTCCTAAATGCTCTAGAAAATTTCTGTATATATTAATATGTACATAACATACATATGCCTACTTTTTCTTTTATTCACAAGTAATATCTCAGCACAAATATTAATTTTTAAATAGCCACCTAGCCTTCCATTACGTATATTAGCTAGAATATTTAAAGAGTTTCCTATTGTTTAGGTCATCTAGCTTTTTTGCTTGTATAAATCTTGCCTCAATGAGTATCTTTGTTGCGTGTAATCTTTTCACATATTTTAGCCCACATGTACTATAAATTATTGGAAACAGAATTATAGGATATAGGGAAGTGTGCATGTGTAATTTTGACAAAATCAGAACACTCTCTTTGATGTTTTACCAAGCTAACATTCCCACTGGAGCTGTACTGTAGCTGGTCCCACTGTAGCTGGTCTAAAACACTGTTTCAAGTAAAATCTTACATAGAGGCTTAGTCTACAACACAGATAAAACCGAAACTGTTCCTAGTCTCTCTGCTAAGCTTTTAATAACTACTTGATGAGATTCTGGGAAGCATCTCTTGGGATTCTGCATCTCTGGTGAGTTTGTTTAAAAACTACAGATACAATATTTGTAAAAGGTAGGAAAGTGTAGAGATGATGCTGGACAGGAGCCAGCCTGAGGGCTTGTCCCTGTGCTCCATTCCTGTGGCCTTCAGCCAGTTAGCTCCAGAGAGCTGTCAGGAGTTTTTGATAGGGATTAACTTTGTGCATTGACTGGCATAGACAGCACTTGAAACATATCAATAGTGTTTTTTGTTTAATGGTTAATTATTTTAAATAACATAATATCATTAAGATGGGAGTAGCTGAGAAACAGCTGAGAATTCATTCTGTCAGGGAACCCAGTAGCCCCAGAACCGAGTTCCTTTGAAGTTCTCAGGGAACCTGGCAGCTGGGTGGGACTGGAGAGTCTTTCTGAAAATTTACTTCGCCAGTAGGAGCCAAGGGAATTGTTGGGGTGATGGTTGGTAGCTGCTGATGGAATGAGAGTAGGGCATGGGACCCCTGGTGCCCAGCTCTCCTGTGAAAGTGGCACTTCTTGATGAAGCTTCTAACAAATTCCCCATGGATAGACAGATGTTGCTAAGGGAAGTAGATGCTATTTATGTGAAATTCCACACAAGGATCTCAGTTTCTGAAGCCATTACACTTCTTCTGCTGTGGAAGAAAAGGCTTCCTCTTAGCCTGATAATGTAGCAACCCTTAACACTGCCTGAAGGCCCCCAAAGATCTGTCCAGCCTGATTAGGAAGGAGGATGAAGACACAAACTGCTGAGGAGACACAAACCTGTTGTGTCAATCTCTGTTTGACATGCAGAACACATTTCACCCAGAACTTACTTCTCCACTCATACTAAGAACTATGCTGAGTACATGTCATACCAGAACGGAGTTTCTAGGCCCTAGAATAACATTGGCTGTAGAACAACATGGCAGGGGGATCAGGGCCTGCCCTCCTGCAGCTGACAGTCAAGGGAGGGAGAGAGACGAGAAACATCCAACACACTGATATATGTGTAAGTGACACTGTGGCAGGGTCGTGGAGCAAAAGTATTAGGCGTGGTGAGGATAAATAACTGGAAAGACCCACTTTAGACAGGTGGTCAGTGAGGCCTCCATCGGAGGTGACTGCTCCACTGAAGCGTGGAGGGAGCTGGGTTGTCCTGGCACAGTGCTGAGAGGAGAAGGTTTCAAGCAGAGGAACAACATTCCTGAGGCAGGCAAGCGTTTCTCAGGATGAAGAACTTAAGTAAAACTAGGTACTTGGCAAAGTCAGCAGGCACATGGCAGCTCTCTCAGCTCTCTTGTTTTGATTAACACTGGAAAAGCCTCCCCAGAGTTACCTCAAGTCCTGGTACAACATGTTCAAAAATGACCAGATAAATGGAAAAATATTTTGAGGGCAGAACCTCAGGGCTAGAGTCCTCTAATGAGTAGAGACGAGCCTAACCAATCCTCTGGATCCCTGATCCTGGAAAACCAAGAGCAGGCTCCCTGCAGCTCCAAAAGATGCAACAAAAGCAAGAATTACCAGTAAATCGCTGGGTTGGAAATTCTGTAGGAAGAAAGCCAAACTGCACTCATTGCTGAATCTTAAATGGACATTTAATAAATCTTTGCTGATTGAATGGTTCTCAGAAGAAGAAACAGAACTTTGTAGAGAAAACTTGAGGTCTGCAGGGCCTTGGTGGGCAGAGTGGGAAGGAAACTTTTTATTTTCAATCTACATGGTCAGTGGGGAACAGAGATTTCTAAAGAAGCAGCAAATCATGGCGATTAGGAGTATAAGCTGGAGTTAGCTTTCCTGGGTACCAATCTTAGTCCAAGTGGCTTTGGGCAAGTTATTTAAATCCTTAAATCCTCTTCATCTGCAAAGTGAGCTTGAAGAGTGTAGATATCCACAGCATTGTTATAAAACCAGAGAAGAGACTAATTTCAGGTGATACACCCAGAACAATTCTTGGCACAGAGGGAGTCCTCAGAAATCGTTTCTGATAGCTGTTTTGAGGAGGATGAAGTATATGCTGGAGCGCTCACTTTGGCTGCACACATACTAAAACAAAAGAATTTGCTGGAACTATTAGGTCATTTTACACTGCTCTCCTAATACCAAGGGATGATTCCAAGTGTCTTAGTTACTTTCTTGTTGCTGAAACATAGTACCTAACAAAACACCCACACTCTAAGGAGGAAAGATTTATTTTGGCTCTCAGTTTGGAGGTTTCAGTCCATAGTCAGCTGGCTCCACGGCAGAGCAGGACAGAGGAGAAGTATTCATGGCATGACAAGCAGGAAGCAGAGAGAGATGAAGGGAGGAGGGAAATATAACTTTTCAGGCAGTGCCCCCAGTGACCCACCTACTTTGACCAGGATTCACCTTTTGGCATCATATTTAGCTATAAACTTATCAGTGAACTAATCCACCAATGAGTATCACCCCGTGATTTGATCATCTCCCCCAAACCCTACATATGAGGACACAAAGCTTTGGGGAGCATCTAGATATAAATCACAGTAACAAGTGTCCTTAGACTTTGGTGGCTGTGCTTTCTTCCCCTAGTTCTAATGGGATGAGCAATAGAATCCTAGAGTGAAATTGAAGTATGAGAGCCTAGTTCTCACTTTTGTGGCTGTACAATGATGGTGGTAAATGAAGGAGGTTTTTGTTTTGTCCCAGTTGCCTTTGGCGTTCTGAACAGATAGTGCAGGGGATGATGTGAAGGAAGTTATACCTGGGGTCATAACTGTCCTCCTAAGGAAATGTCACTGTGCTCTCATGACTGACATCATCCAAATTGTTTGGCCACTGCTCTCAATCATCTTTCTTTGTGTGTCTAGGTAACAGCACAGGAATGGCCACTTTGCAGAGAGAGCAACAATGTCTTGGCGAGGAAGATGTTTATCACACGTTGGAAGATGATGAGACCTTTTGCATGGACCTGGCCAGCAGGCCTCCTGTCCCTGTACCCAGGCCAGAGACCAGTCCTTCTGGTGCTCATCAGCTGCCTGACAATGAACTGTACATTTCCAAAGGCAAGTATGTCAGGGAATACTATCTCCAGGATTCTTCAAAGCTTCTTAGCATCAATTTCTTAGATCTCTTGGCTTTTGAACCATGACCCAAAGACTCCTTTCCTGAATGTTTTCCAGCCAGCCCCACAAGACAGAGTCATAGCTCAGGCAAATTCTGGAGTGAAACTGGGGCAATGAACAGATTCCATTCCTGGTAGCATTCATGCACAGTTCGAAAGATGAGTCCACAAGAACTTCAGTACATTTTTGTCTCCCCATACCCTTCTTACTGCTATTATTAATAATCTTAATAGCTGACATTTATTGAAATATACTGAGTACTCTATCCGGAACATGCCATTGAATCTTTACTATAACCTTTTAGATTAGAAGTATCATTCACATTTTATAGAAAGGGATGTGAAAGCTTACAAAGGTTACTCAGTCACTATGCAGCTCAGCTAGGCTTTTAGCCAGCATACTGGGCTGCTTGTGACCTATGTTAATAAAAATTGGTAAGAACTGGGTTTTGGCTTCTTCATAATTGTCCCTGGGAAATCAGTTAGATGGCATTGTCAGTTAGATGGTACTACTAAAAGTAGAAAAATTCACAGATCTGTGCTCTGGGCCTATATTCTGTTTTTAATATGAGCTTGGAAGATCATATATCAGCGCAGGTAATGCTGACCTAGACCCCCTGGTAACTAGGGTGCAGTTGCCAGATAAAATATGTTAGTTAACTTCAAATTGCAGATAATAAGCAGCCATTTTACTGTATGTTCCAAATAATTCACTGTTTTGGCTTTGGCTTTGGTTTTTCAACTTGGAAATCCTAAATTGGGTTGTGGTACAGTTATGGGATGTTCTGTATCCCCAAATGCCATTTGTAGTCAAGCCGGCCATCTCCCTGGCTAGCATTTTCTTTGGCATGTCCAGCAGATACCATTGATGTCCTGCTTTTGTGCCCCTAGCTCTTTACATTTTTGTGCCAACTGGCCAGATCTGGCCTGTTTTTCTATTGTCTCTTAGCCTGAGGGCTTTCTCTGGCTTGGGAACCTTCTCTGCCCTCTTGCAAGACAAGATGAAAACACTGAAAAGTTAGTACACATGGCCTCTGCCCTCGACTAATGACTGTTGAGAGTTGGCGGAGGAATATCCCAATTTGTTTGCCTGCCCTGAAACTATGAATTGAATGTTTCGTATTGCTTTTCAGGGATCCAGAGCTTGTCCATGGTGGTCACTTGCTTGATAAACCACCATTTATTGCTTTCGCCTTGACTCTGTGACCTCTTAACTAGACTACTCACACTCAAATCATTAGCTTAGGGTCTGTTTCTCAAGGAAGCGCATTGCAAAGCATGCAGATACACATTGGCAGTTTCTAAATGGTGGAGGGGATGGGAGTGTTGTGGATGGCACCTTACTGGGAGACGGTTGAGATGTAGACACAGGTGATTCCTAAACAGCCCTTGAGGACTTGCTGAGACACTATGAGCAAACAAAGGCAAGGAGAGAGACTTGAAGTGACGAACGGCTGGTGGCTGGAAGCCAGAACACCTGGGTTCATCTCTCAGTTCTTGCGTTTTCTAGTGTACAGCATAGAACATTGGATAAATTGTTTTATTCTTTTTATCCTTAGTTCATATCTATGAAGTGGTTATCATATAATATACGTCTACATTAATATGTATGTTATAGTGATATATGATAATACTCTGCCACAGCCTTATTTTGAGGGTCAGATAAAATAATACATGGAAGAAGTACTTTTAAATTGTAAGACACTGTATGTACATCCCTTGGGTTAACTAGCATGTCAAGGTTCTGCTGTCTTATCAGCATTAGTCTTGAAGCTTAAATAAAAAATAATGATAATAAATCTATCCTTAGGTGCTTACATATGCTGGACGCTATCCTAAGCACTTTCTGTGTATTAACTCACTTAATCCTCATGACAATCCATTGACAATTCTTCCTCGTTCTACATATAAGAGATGGAGGAAGGAAGAGGTCAAGTCTTTTGTGCAAGATCACATGACTTCTAAGTGACAGAGCCAGGGTTTGAATCCAGGGGGGTCTCAATCAGAGCTCAGAGAGCCATAACAACTATGCTATCTTACCACTAAGGGCATACTTGTCATTTTCCTGTTTTCTCTATTGTCTCTTCTGATTCTGTCCCTCATGAATAATTTGATTTTAGTGCCTTTGAAGTCAGGCATACACTACTGCTTAGAGTCCTGTCTCATGGCATGCTTTGCCTAAATGCTAGGTACTTCCTTTTATTCTTCAGCTTTTAGGCTTCCCATGACTAGCTTCAGGTGTTCTGTGATCCAGGCACACTTCCTTGTTCCTATTATCCTTTCCTTTATGATCTTTTCTCTCTTTTACCCTTTTCTTTGATGATCTTGTAAATGCTGATCATGTCCTTTGGCTGGCTTTGGCTTAGTGTGACAGCCTGTCTGTCTGACCTATTTTACATGACAGTCTCTATGGCTTCTCTTTAGCTGTCTTTTCTAGGAGTTTTATTTTTGTATAAGATTTTGGTAGAACATTTTGTAAAAATATGAAATGTTGTAGAGTACTTAAGAAAGAAAAGACAAATGCGAACATCGTATGCAATAAACATGAGCTAAGATTAATAATATCAGAAAAAATGAAAATGAGGAAAGAGGATTTAGAGGAGGAGAAGGGAAGGAGGAAAGAAGGAAGGAAGGAAGGAAGGAAGGAAGGAAGGAAGGAAGGAAGGAAGGAGAAGAGGATTTAAAAATGAAGCAAGCTCTATTATGTACATATATACCCATTCCCCAAGATGATTGTAAGCTACATGTACTGCAAACATATACTCATAAAAATAAAGGTTTAAAAGTTCTTTTTAAAAAATAAAGAAAGAAATGACTTAGCTTTTACTCAGAATATTCTTTTTTTGGGGAGGATGAATACTGAAAATTGAATTCAGGACCTCACAATGGCAGGCATTGTACCACTGAGCTACATCCCTGGACCTCAGAATATTCTTTCTCTCACAGTTTTTGCAGAAAAAAGTCAAGAACAGCCTGGGAATTTGTATGTTTCCTCAGAGCACTTCCGGAAAGGTAAGCCAGCGTGTCCTCAGCTTCCTTTTTTATAAGTGAAACTTTAATGGGGTATTCTTACCTCGGAGACTTCTCAGGGTGATGGCTCCTTGGCATTGCAAAATAGAGACCCAGGAGTGTCTTAGGATGGAGCTATCTAAGAGTCCTGCACTGAAGATAAAGACAGAGGGGAGGCCCTAACACACTGTACTAATCGATTATACAAAGGACACTAAAATACCAGGAAGGGCCACTCAGCACATACAGATACATTCTAAGCCCTGAGGTGCCCTGAGGTTCGTGCCAAGAGTGGCAGCCCAGCACCCAGGCTATCTGTGATACAGCCTTCTGGGCTGTTTACTCTGTCTATACCAGCTCAGTCGTGCTTTAAAGACACTTTCTTGCTGTTGGGTAAGAACTTAGACATTGCATTCTTCTCAAGAATTTTTATGGAAGTTTGAGGAGCTAAATGTTCGCCCTCCCCTCATTAATTTGCTTGAGTTAAATAGAGACCTTCAGTATTATCCCATTAAGATTCATGTGGAAAGTAATCATGACACAATCTAGGCATTTAAAGACACCCTAAAGGACTATGGCAGTGGGAGATTGGAACTGATGGGAATGTGCTTCTGTTTTCCCTCCTACTCTGTCTCTCAAAACCTTAAAAGGGCAAACCTGGCCAAAGGGCATGTAAGTGTGTGTGCTCAGATGAGCGAATGGATTGGCACGTAACAGATAAACTTTAAGGTTTTTCCCCAGTATTTATTGGTAATGCCATCTCTCTTGTCCCATCTTCTTGTGTCCCTGAATCACAATGCCCATGTTGGAGAGATTTGGGATCAAATAACCTTAAACGTATCAAGAAGTAAATGTCAGGTTGTCTTCACAAACCCAGTGGCCCTATCATCTCTGCAAGTAGCTCATTCCCTGAAGAGCTAAGGTTACAGCCTGGAGAGGGGGTGCTTGGCTTCATGTTTCCCTGGACTCTTCGAAGCAGAGAACTGTTTGTAATATGAAAGAGAGACTGGCACAGAGCAACCTAAATAGCCAGTTAGAACCCAGCACATCCCTGATACTTGGTGCTACTGGACCTGGGTTACAACATCACTGGTGTTTGATATCCTCCAGCATTTCATGCCAATTAGCCTATAATCACTGCTGAGATAGGCTGGGAATGGTGGTGGGAGATGCATCCTGGCCAGACTCTTCCATTTTAAATCCACTTCTAGAAGTGGATTTAAGTCTAAAGCTACTAGTAGTTCTCATGTGGGAGTGATTTTGCCCTCTCCAGAGGACGTTTGGCACCACCTGAGAACATTTTTAGTTGCCACAACTAGGGAGAGGAGTGCTGCTGGCACCCAGTTGGTAGAGGCCAAGGGTGCTGCTGAACATCCTACAGGGACAAGACAGCCTCAAATATCAGTAGTATCAAGGTTGAGAAATGTTGGTCTGAAGGCATATTGATAATTGAGGTCTGGGGAATTTGGCAGGGTTCACATCTATCTTAAATGCTGGAGCCTTCTCTGCTTTAATAGACTTTGAAATTAGTAACCTCCTGTCCTCTGACTCCACATTGTTTCCCCCTTCTTGGCTTGTAATTGTTCCTTTGTGATGTGCCCTTTTGAACTTGTGAGCAGCCTCATCACTGTCTCCCATTTCTCAGGTCTGCTCCCTCTCTACTAGGAAGCTATGGAGCTGAGGTTTGCTATCTTTTCAGAGCCACCTGTCAGACCATGGAGGGACAGGCCCCAGTCAAGTGTATATGACCCATTTGCTGGAATGAAGACGCCGGGCCAGCGGCAGCTCATCACACTGCAGGAACAGGTGAAGCTGGGCATTGTCAACGTGGATGAGGCCGTGCTGCACTTCAAGGAGTGGCAGCTCAACCAGAAGAAGCGGTCTGAGTCCTTTCGCTTCCAGCAGGTAGTGCCACCATCTTTTAGAAGCCTTTTCGTGTCACTTTGCTACTGAACAGTGGGGAAAGTGGGTGGCAGCCATCCAGTGTTGCTCCTACTGAGCACCTGTGACTGTGCCTACAAACCCTGGTGGTGTGTCCTGTGGGTGACTGTGTGTTTCCCTGGCCTGGACATATAACTCCCTGTGTTTTTAACTAAATATCATTTTCTACGACACCCATCCCTAGTTTAATGTCTGCAATTACACAAGAAAAAATTGGGGTTAGGGGCTAAGGGACATGTCCAAGACCACTCTCACTGTTGAGTGGTTAAGTGAGGATGGGAACTTTTTTCCTCTATCTCAGTGGAGTCTATTTCAACCTCCATCTCCCAGCACCTGACATGTAAGCTACCTGGTCAGTGGTATGAGCAGCAGCCATCAGCCCTGAGAGGGAGCATGGCGTCTAGGGGTGGAGAGAAATGCTGGAGAGCAGTGGATGGTGAGGCAGAAGCACCGGTGGTTGAGGTTTGACAGCAGCGTGTCATGCTGTGCTGTGCATTCAGCAGAATTTAACCTCTGCTCCTCATGACATGCACGCAAAGGAAGTACCATCACCCCAGTTTCCCAGAAAACAGAGGCTCAGTGAAATGCAGAGGGGTCAGGATCCAAACCAGCTCCAAGTAAGCCTAAACCCCTTCATCACACCTTCTGCTTCCTTAGTGCTCCTTAAAGGGGGCCACAGTCTCTTCCAGCAGCCTCCTTCCTTCTGGGATCTGAAGGGTGAGTGGGTACCCATCCTGAGTACTGAATCCAGGAATCAGGGTCCTTCTCACTCAGGTACCCCAGGATTACTACAAGACTGCTGAGAAAAGTCCAGCCATGGCCACAAAATGATCGTTTTTTTTTTCTCCTTACCAAAATGTGTGACCACATGGCACAGTAGCTATGGGAAGCCAGGGTTCTGGAAGCAGCAGCTCAAGTTTATACCCTTGTTCTGCCACTTGCAACTAAATGATCTTGGTCTCTGTGTCTCACCCTGCAGGCAAAAAACAACCTTTCCAGTTTGGCCTTCACTGAACCTTCTGGTTCAGCCCAACTGATTGGATATTTTCCCCATTGCATTGAAAACTCAGATACAGGGCCAGGGATTTAACTCAGTGGCATAAGCCCCTACCTGGCAAGTGTGAGGTCAATCTCTGGTACAAAAAAAAAAAAAACCCAAAAAACTTCAGATGCTTAACTTCCCTAGAATGCTTAGCCACTGGTGTTAATGGACTGAAATAGAAAAAGTCTTGGCACTCAAGTATCTATTCTACATTTATTGAATGAATGCAGTGGACCAGATGGCGGGACTGTAGGGTCCTTCTCCTCAGATACCCCAGGATGACTTAGTCTTTCACCCTTGGAGAGCCCACGTATCCTGAAGAGATAAGGCACATACACATGCATACACACACATGCCTATGAAGAATGGTATAAACTAGTGGCTGATGGCTGTTGTGGACAGTACTAAGGACTGGAAGCTATCAAGGAGAAGGTGGGCCTTGCTTGACCCAGGCCTGGAACAAACACATGGAGAGCAATAAACATCACTTCAGGTCAGGGGAATGAAGAAAGAATGCAGTGTCAGAGGCAAGAACGTAGGCAGAGTGTTTGTGGGCAGGTCAGAGACTGGTTTTGCTAGTCAGTGTCCATGGGAGAGGGTACTCGGTTATAGAGTGATAAATGGAACCAGGAGCCAGAGGAGAGGAAAAACTGTATTGGGAAGAGATGTCTTCTCTTTGGGCACAAATCAAATGAGGATGTGAGTTTGTCCGAGAGCTGACCACGCTAAAGATCACTTGCATCTGAAAATGTTATTGTGATGTGATAGACTCTGCGTACAGCGTGCAATCGGAAAGTATCTCTAATGCTCACAGGGTATGACTGTGGTGTGTATTTAAACTCTGTCTTTTTTAATAGGAGAACCTTAAGCGGCTAAGAGATAGCATCACCCGAAGACAGAAAGAGAAGCAGAAGTCAGGGAAGCAGGCAGGTACGGGCTGTCGCATCGCCGCAGCATTGCTATTTTGCTTGACCCTCCTTACTGTTGTGGTTTGAGTGACAAGGGCCTGACTGTCCTTGGCAGTTGGAAGGATGCATTTCCTGAGCAGAGAAGGGAGAAACTCCATTCACACAATGTCTGTTTCTGACTTCAGTGGTGAATCTTATGTCATCAGTTCCCACGTCACACACTGCCTCAGAAGCCAAACACTCAGGTTAGCGGGGCTCCAAAAAAGACCAAAGTCTTTGTTGTAATGACTGGTTTAGTCAAATGTCCAGTAACACCATTGATTCCTCCCACACACACTTACTGAGCACAGGTCACCCAGCCAGACACAAAGACCTGTGAGCCACTGTCTTTACCATCTGACAGCTTAGGGGTTAGTTGTCTTTATGTTCATGTGGGATTCGTTTCCCTTATAAGGTCAGCCCCATGACACCTTCAAAATGTTGTGTAGAAAGTAGCCTAGCCAATGTTAATGGTTTTGACTATTATAGGGAAAAGTGGTTAAAGGTTATAGCCTGGCACAAGTTCAGAGAGCTTATATGAAGACTTTTGCTTGTATGTCTAGATTTTAAATTTGTGCCACCACTCCCCAAACTCAGGTATATCTTTCCTCCCAGTGGAAGCGGGGAGCAAAGAACAGAAGAGGCAGGAAGTCTGCCTGACGGTCTGCAGTTATTAGGGGAAGGGGTCAGATAAAAGGGCTCCAGGAGGAAAATGACCAAGTTGCTTTTAAAACTAGAGCACTTGGACCTAAAGGTAGAAGTCTTGAGTAAATGAAACATTCCAGGATCTTAAATACAGCAGCATGGAGCCTGTGATGGGGTGGTGGCCCTGTGTCTGAAGGCCTAGGAGTTTGTAATGTGCTCAGCTGGCTGGATTCAAGACTGGGCCTTCTGGTGGCATCACATCTTTCTGCTCCCTGGGTTTTACCTGGTGCCACTGGAGTTACTAAAGCAAGATAACATACATGCGGAGAAGCAGGGGACACAGGCATGAATCCTGAGGCCGGCAAGATTGGGGTCAGATTTCTGCTCACTATGGGCAAGATCCTTTGCCTCCGGGAGACTCAGTCCTTATCTGTAAAATGGCAAAAAACCAAAACAAAAACCCACAAAGTTCTCATTGGGAAGGAGTCTGGGTATAGTCTTTGCCTCTTACAAAGGCAAAGTCCAGAGTCCTTGGCCCAGGGAAGCACTCTAAAACCATCTGCTCCTGTAGTCACGCACAGGCTGACATGTGCCTGCACCTCTCAGGCAGAGCCTTCCAGAACGAGTACACTGGGACTTACTGTTTCGGGTCGAGCCCTAGGGTCATAAGTTTTGAAACATTACACAAAGTCCACCCAAGGTTGATTAGGGTCCAAATAAGCGATTTATACCCTCAGGTACCTATAGTCTAAGTCAGAATGCTCAATGTCCAAAATTTCCCAAAGCAGCATGACATTAATCCTCTCTCTATGGCTCTGTAGGAAGCAGACCCTCTGACAAGGAATATTTTGTGGGTAAGAGTTTAGTTATTTTTTATATCAGGGACTTTAATTAAAAGCATGACTATTAAAACTTTCATAACTGGACGCTGTGTTAGCTTTTTATGGTTGTAAAAAATACCCCAGATGACCACCTTATAAAAACAAAAGGTTGGCTGGGGATATAGCTCAGTGGCACTGTACCTGTCTGGCAAGTGTAGAGTCCTGAGTTTGATTTCCAGTACCAAAAACAATACAAAAGGTTTATTTTGGCTCACAGTTTTGGAGGTTTCAGGCCCCAAAGTAACACATTATGGCAGGGACATGTGACAGAGCAAAATTCTCTGACATGGGAGAACTGAGAAGATGACAGGGCTGGGGTGTGACGCTCCCCTCCAAAGGGACGCTCGCAATAGGGATGCTTCTGCTGTGCACCACTACCATCTCCCAATAGTTCCAAGCAGGGACCAAGTCTTTAACACATGGGCCTGTGGGGGACATTCCAGATCTGAAGTATAGCAGACACTGAGCAAGAATGACTGGAGTGACCAGATGTGATGGCACACACCTGAAATCCCAGCACTCCGGAGGCTGAAGCAGGATGATTGCTGCAAGTTCAAGGCCAGTCTGAACTACATAGTGAGACTCTGTTTCAAAAAAGAAAAATAACTAAATAAAGAATGACTGGAGTTGGCAAGCAACCCACAAGGGCAGAATGTTCTAGCCGTGGGCCCCAAGTGCCTCCTTGTTTTAAGTTATGCTACTAAACAGCAAACAAACCAGGCCACTTATATACCTACTCACATCAGTCATTGGTTGAAGTCTATTGGCGGAGATACTTATAATTTGGTTTCCAGAGAAAGCTTTATGTGATTGGAAGTTGGACTGTGAACTGCAGGGTGAGGCCCAGAGGAATCAGAATGTCTGCCAAAGATAAGACATCCTTTATGGTTGAGTAGATACACTTGTTTAACTCTGTAAGCTGGGTTATATATCACGCCCTCGCTTGTAGTGACCTACCCTGTTGGCTCCTTTGGGGCCTCGGAGCTGCTGTTTGTCTCCTTGAAGGGGCAGGAAGGAAACTGAAAGTGCAGGGCGGATTAGGGTGCACAGGGGTGGGCCCACTTTCTCTGCCTTGAACACTGCAGCTCCTTTTAAAAATATGCTTTCTGTGTTGAGCGTCTGTCACTAGAAGGAGAGAATTCTGCTTTGCTAGAACGGGAAAGCATAGGAAAGCCTTTGACACACTCTCACATTGGTCTACAGGAGCAGTAGGGCTGCTGCTGAGTGGCATTTATTTCTAAAGGACCTTCTCTAAGAATGTAACCTACTCCAGACACAAGGACTGACTCTTCATTTGGAAACTTCATTTGTCTTAGAAAAGAAAAATAGCGATTGTTTTCTCTATTTTGGGTTATAGTTCTAAGGATAATTGAAAACTGAGCCTCTGTTCATAATAACCTGCCCATTTTTCTTAAGCCCCAGGGAGCAGCTCTGCCCTCCCTGAGCTGGCACAGTGTTGAAATCAGTGAGTGGCCTCTGGGCTTTTTGAGTGCTGTGGCCTCACAGAGAAGACAGTCAGTATTTGTGTTCTGGGTGTGTCCTATAGGCAGACGACAGCTGAGTCACAGTGAACTTGGGTTCTGATCCCCAATTTGTCACTGAATCGCTTTATGATTCAGGGTCGTTCCCTTAACCCCTCAGTTTCCTCACTGGAGTTATACCTGGCTTATCTACTTGATGGAGAAGTCATAGAGCTCAATGGAGAGTGCATTAACAGCACAGGTGCAAACACTGAAAGGTGCTATGTAATGTCATAATAAGAGTTATTCCTGATATTATACCTTTATTCAAAGGATGTCAGGATTTTGTAAACATTTAGAGTTAGCTGTATCTGATTTTTTTGAACTTTGGTCTATTTTTTTCTTGTGTGTTTTATGTTCCTTTCGCATAGAATTGTCAAGGGTGGAAAATTGCCATTTTGAAGTTACTTAAGCAGACAAGAACCTTCTTTCAAAAGGTGATTTTAAAAAGGTAGATCAAAGATAGAAGGAAGTCAAAAAAGAATGATATCTGTGTAGGCTCCTGAGAGTCTAGGGTCACACCCATGTGACAGTGCACCCCCATTCTTTGCCTAAATTCACTGCAGAGTTGTAACCAAGGGATCCCTAGATTGAGAGGGTTAGAAAGCTGGTTGAATACTGGAGCCTATGTTACCCTGGATCCAGAAAGCTCAGGCTTGTGCAGAGAAATAATCCACCCTCTAGTGTCCTTTATGCTGGACGTGCACTGTGTGTGGCTTGCTATATCCTGTCCTTATGCTGCTCTTTCCTAAAGTTCTGCTGTATTTATTTACCTTGCTTGGCCAGCCTCTAGATTTGTGAGCACAGCCACCTGTGTCACAGCCTCTCAGAACTTCCTGTTGCTCCAATCACATGGAAGTAGAGAGGAGAGAAAGTGGTACCACAAGGTTAAGAGTGCAGGTCCCAAAGCTAATCCTTCTTCCTTCCCACACCCCAACCCCGTTTCCACATCAAGGGCAGCAAGGGGAGCTTGGAGGCAGGGCTCCTCTGCTTTACACTTACCTGAGGAGGAAGTTGCTGCCAGCAGCACCAAGATGTCATTCTGCTCAGCAGCAAAAGTTAGAACCCGAAGATGGAACTCTAGGGAAGAGTAAAGGCAAACCACTGGACAGGGCTAAGCCAGTAAAGAGGTCAAGTTAGTGCTTTGCTAGGCAGAGAAGCACTCTTCTGTATCACTAATCAGTCTTGCAAGTCAAAAAAGGCTTTCAGGGACCTCCTGAAAGACCTCCTGTTATTAATTCTGTGAGTCACCGCTACACAATATGGGCCACCCACATCACACCCTGCCACCTGCTGTGCATCATGTGTTAAGGGATCAAGTGAGGAAAGTGCCTACACTCTCATGCCAGCATCTAAGTCCCACCTCGGCCATTTCCTGCTGTGTGACAAGGCTGCAACTTCACTTTTCCATGCCTCGTATCTGTTGGAGGCGATAATAACTGATTTCTTGGCTGTTGTGGAGATTCAGTGAGTGAAAAATATGGAAGGTCTGGGTAAGCCTGGTGCACAGGTGGCCCACACATGATGACTAAAGATGCACACACAGCCTCCTTAGACAGGAGGGTGATACAGAGAGGTGAACTGACTTACTCAAGTTGCACGGCTGCTAGTGGAGGAGCTGGAAACCCAGCTCTCTGACCGTGTCTCATCCACTCCCTGCAAGTGGAGAAATACGCACGTGTTTCTCTGCCCCTTCTCACATCCTACATCCCTTCTTTCTGTCTCCCAGCCTGGCCACACAGGAGCCCAGGGGTTCAGCATGATGTGGGCAGGGAGAACGATTCAGGGCTTGCCCTCCCCTGAAGAAAACAGGTAGAGATGGAGCATGAGGCAGTCAGGCGACAATCTGCCCTCTTGAAGATTATCCCTGTTCCTCTGATTCCAGACCTGGAGATCACAGTCCCCATCCGGCACTCCCAGCACCTGCCTGGGAAAGTGGAGTTTGGAGTCTATGAGAGCGGCCCCAGGAAAAGCGTCCTCCCTTCAAGAACAGAGCTAAGGCGTGGTGACTGGAAAACAGACAGTACCTCCAGCACAGCGAGTAAGTAGGGTGGTGCCCTCAGTGCCCTCCCCACTGTGCTCTACCTGGTGGCTTGAGGCGATTGAAAGCATTCTGTCATGAGCCTAAAGATCTCAGAGGAGATTTGATTTGGTTTTGAAAAGTGTAAAATATGGGAAACAATTAGCCTGTAAATTTTGCTTTTATCGTGTGAAGCTGGTGGACATAATTATTACTCTATCCTTTTCATAAAAAGCAAAACCTCATAATAATAACAGTTAATGTTTATTGAGCATTAATGATCTTTGAAGCTTCTTCATAGATTGTTGATTTCTGTCAAAACTTCTTGCTTTTTTTTTTTTCCATAGCAAGACAAAAATTCTTTAAAAGTTACTTTGACCTCTGTTTCGCAAGGTGGGAAGTTAGAGGCCTAGTGTCCTAACTGGGTTAGGTAGAGAATGTGGTTAAGATAGGTTTGATGTTAAGACAGTGTGGATCCAGAGCCGGTGCTCTTCTTAACCACTGCTTCTTGCTGCTTCCCCAGCTGGGTTAAGGGGAAAGTGAGAGAACAAAGTCAAAAGACTCAGATTTGAGAATTCCAGCTTTACAGACAGTGGAGGATCTAATTAGCATATGCTTCCTTTGAACTTGAATGGGAGTCTGATTGCATAGACAATGCCCACTGATGTACAGGCAAGGGCCTGGGCTTTGTTTCCACATCCAGGGCCCTGTTGGCTGACTCCGGGCACACTGGCTTCATAAGCCCCTTAGAATTTCTGTTTTCCATTCATTTTGCTGTTGTCAAAGCAGCCAGAAAAGTAATGAAAAAGCCAGAGAGAAGCTCAGTTTCAAGATTCATGTCCCCTCAAATGTGAAGCAGAAAATCCACTAATGAAATGTGGGACATCCCACAGTGTATCCAGCCTAGGATTCTTAATCCCTTTGAGTCTGATACATGTTCAGGACCTGTTTCCTAGAAAAATGCTTGTCTGTATACAAATATACCTTCATGCACACCTGTGCGTGCACACACACACACACACACACACACACACACACACCAATTCTGCCCACCTGTGAATTTAGGTCAAGAGTGTCTGTACTAGTTTCCCTCTTTACTCTATGGATAGATTATTTGTAACCCAGAGTGGGAAAGATCTTTCTCCAGGGTCCTGTGGCCTCAGAGTACAAAGTAGTTGGCCCTGGAACCCCTGCTCTTTTCTCTTTCAAGTTGATTTTGCTACCACCATGATCTATGGAAGCAGACCCAAAGCCTGTCACATGACCACATGGGAAGTCTGGACTGGACAGAGAAAACCTCCCTGCACATAGTGGTAGTGATAATGCCTTTCTAGAGACCCCTGAGGCAATTTGGAAATTCAAATTCTGACAAGTTCAGAAAAGGGAGTAAGTTCCTTAGGGACCACAGGTGGAAGGAAAGCCAGAGATGGGCAGAGCTTCTGTCAGACACGTTGGGAAGCAGAGGAGGGCTAGACACACACACACACACACACACACACACACACACACACACACACAGATGCTTTCATTAATAAAATGTTCACTCTTTACTGGCTCTATGCCGAGCATATTACCATGTGATCTAATTGATTCCATACATCAAGGCCTCAGTTTCTAAATAAGGAAATGGAAAGTTAGGAAGTTTAGCAACTTGCTCCCATCTCTTAGCAAGTAAGCAGGGCATCTGGGATTCACACCCAGAGCTTTTTGTTCCCTTTCCAGAGAAGTATTGCCTTCCAAGGGGCAGGGAGGGACAGTAAGGGTGGCTGGACTCTGACCTACCAGCTAGCCCTTTACCCCAGAATTGCATCCTGAAAACAGCACTATTTTTATTATGCTACAGCTGTCATGACTTGGAAACCACAGAAAAATAATTTCAGGTTACATCTGGTTATAACCAAAAACTCAAGATAACAGTGTGATATTTAAGAAAACAAAACTTTCATTGCAGAAGGACTATTGAGCTTCTCCTAGGTTATGTGGCCCAAGTTGTTTTTATAGTGCGTGATTATTTTTTCCCCTATTTTTGCACAGAGGACAGCTCAGGCAACTGAGGTAGACAATGAAAAAGAACCAGTGCCTGTCTTTAAGGGCTTATAATACCGAAAGGAAAGTACAGAAATAGTACAAGTTAGATGTTCATCTGATTCTTCTTCCCCAGCAACAGAGTGTGGCAAGGGCTGGCAGTATGCTCCTTCACCCTGGCCAGAGTATAGGTGATAGGGCTGGGGCCAGAGGTTCCTACCAACTGTGCAGCCCGGAGGGATATGGCCAAAGTCATCAGCCTGGAGAGGGGCCCAGGCCACAGCAGTCCAACCAAGGGAGCCAACGTTTGGAGCCAAGTGTTGGGGTTAAAGATTTAAGAATGCCAACAGAAGGGACAACAGAACCCAATTGGTATGAATTTCTAGAGTTACTGAGCCAGTGCTTGTGACCATTTTCTACTTTCTGATTGCAGATAACCTTCAGAACAATGTGGCTCATTGTGACCAAATGGCAGGGACCAGGATGAATGATCAGGGAGGCTCAGTCACAGAGAGGGATGGGACCCATGTGCCCAGGGCTTGCTTTTAGTTAAGAAAATCTGGAGAAATTTGATGGCATTTGCCGTAAGCAGATTTTTAGCCTGTGGACAGCAGTGGGCCAGGCAAATGAAGAGAAAAGGATACTCTGGTCAGGTGAACAGTGTTATATGTAGACAGCTGAATAGAAAGGGACCATGTTTCACGTGCTTCTAATGAACAAACTGAATTTCCTGGTTTATGAAAATATTTTGACACAATATTTTAGGTATAAAAATATACCCCCAAGAAGTAGTCCAAAGTTATAATCCTAACTGCTCCATTTAAGCTAACTTCTAAATTCATTCCCTAAATTCATATTGCCAAAGTTGATACCACAACATGGCAAAACTAACACTATTTCCAAACTAATAAGAGCTATTTTAAGTTGAAATTGAGCAACCCTAAGACTTGGCAATCTGTTAGTAGCAATACTGGTAAATCAAAAAGTTAAGATTTCCTTGTTATAGTTGATTAATTCTTCCTTCTTTAATGCCAGGTCACCATGGGTCCAGGCTGTTTCTAATGTACCGAACAATACAATAGCCATTGGCCATATATAGCTATTTACATTTAAATTAATTAAAACTACATAAAATTTAAAATTTATTTCTTTAGTTGTACACTAGCTACTATATTAGCACAAAAATGGGACATTGTCAGCACAATTTCAATTGGAAAATGCTCTGCTAATGACATAGGTGATAAATTCCCAACTCAAGAGCTTTGGGCACTTAAACTTACACAGTCACAGTTCCTACCATGAATGTAAATTATATTTTTGAATTTGAGTATAGCATGTTTTTCCTGTGTGTTTGTGTTGCACTAGGGATGAAATTTAGGGCTGTGCAAAGCCATCACTCTTACCTTTGAGCCACACCCCCAGACTTGCATTTTGTATCAGAGTGTCTCACCCCTTATTATAAGGTACCATGTACATGTATGTCACATGTACATGTTTGCTGTATTCTAAGTAAAAGAAGAACTACAGTAACAAAACTAGTTCACAGATTTTAGAGATACTATTGAACGAGAATCAGAATGCCTTTACTTCCCTGTCAAACCAAAGCACTAATAGCAAATAGGATTTTCAAAGAAAAAATAATGGAATCATGTTTTTGAAGCACTTAGTGTATGGGATGCCCTCAGTAAGGGGTAACTGTTAAGCTGAAAGTGGTAGTCAAGACTTAGTAAACTATTTCATGGAATGCTGACAGAAAACCTGAACTCTACTAAAAGGGCATGACAGCCACATTTTGAAGAATCCTGCTTCCACTGCTTGTATGTTGTTTCTATCAGTAACATAAGCACTAGAGCTCTGTATTTGGTTTACTCCACAGTCTAACTCACTTTATTTCTACTCTTCAGGCAGCACGAGTAATCGCTCAAGCACACGAAGCCTCCTCAGTGTGAGCAGTGGAATGGAAGGTGACAATGAGGTGAGAGCCGGGGTTGTCACCCACCTGTCTTGTCCTCTGGGTCATTTCATTGCAAGAGACAGAACTTCAGTGAAGGAATGCACACAAAAAAAGTCACATATTGTATATTGTAGGATTTCACTTATATGAAATATTTAGAATGGAGAAATCCCCAGAGACAGAATATGGATTCATGTTTGGCAGGGGCTGGAAAGGGACGAGAATAGGAAGGAATTAACTGCTTAATAGATACAGTGTTTCCTTTTGGGTTATTAAACTGTTTTGAGACTACATAGAGTTGGTTGCATAACACTGTGAATTCACTCAGTGTCCCTGAATCATTTGCTTTAGAATGGTTGGTTCTATGTTATGTGGATTTTACTTCAATAAGAAGAAAAGAAGGGAGGGAAGAAGGCAGGGAGAAAAATGGAAAGAGACAAAAATCTGCTCAACTTAGATAGTGGTATCTATGGGAAGAATCTGATCAGTCTCAGAGACTCCAGGGACAGGGATCATGCCAGGGCCTAGATTAGGGGCCACAAGGGATGCCAGGGAGAGCGAAGGACATCGTTCCCTATGTCCCCAGTTCAGTGCTATTGTGTCTGTGATTTTCAGTATATACCTATATACCTGCTTTCTTCCTGCCTTACCCACTGGCCTTTTCTGTGTAGTAGCACAGTCTCTAGAGAACCACAAGGCCTTGGGCTGAAAGGAAACTGCTGCTTTGGGTAGAGGCCCACTCCAAGTTGGCTGAATTTGGGTCAGAGTGTCTACCCTGATGCAAGGACTGAAAGAAACAGGAAGGCCCACCTGAGTCACCCCCAACCCTGAAGGCTCCAGAGAACAGCTTGTCACAGGGGGTTTGTGAGAAACTTTTAGATGCTGCTGGTGTTGACAGCCATGGACCATGTTTTAATTAGCATGGATTTAGGGTTAAAAGGTTCGTGAGAATGTGGGCTAGCCTGTCCTTCTCAACAACAGGAAGACATGGAAGCTGCCAGAGGACGCTGGGTTGATTTCCAGTTTGTGAGCCCCCTGCAGCCACAGCCTGAAGAAGGCTGAGGGACTTTTGTGATATGGGTGTCCAGCTGTGCTGGTTGCATCAAGTAATTTTCATGTTTTTTTCTCTTCTTGTTTGCGTAGGACAATGAAGTCCCGGAAGTTACCAGAAGTCGTAGTCCAGGCCCCCAACAAGTGGATGGAACACACACCGTGCCCTCTGAGAGGCCCCCCAGGGTGCCTCCTCGAGCCGCCTCGCAGAGGTAACATTGAAGTCCATATTTTTTCCTCACTCTCTGAATTTCAGAAGGAGTAGGATTTGAGGACATGTGCAATAACTGAAATTCCTAATTTTGACATATTTCATTAATGTAGGTGATACTTTACTCAGTTAAATGGTATATGCACTATTTCATAAGTGAAATGAATAAGCACATGTCAACTTTTAAAATAATTTTCATTGCATGGTTTTTCTCTAAAGTTTATTAGCATATATGTGTAGTATATAATGTTTACATTACTTGTAGGAATTGGTACATGTACCTAACACATCTTAATTCCACTTTTATTCCCTTTTCCTTCTAACCCTCCTCCCTCCACGCATCCCCCTTGATCCTCCTTCTTTGTTGTGTATGTATACATGTTTGCAAAACATAATGTTTACATTCCTTGTATGGAGTTTGTACATGTACATAATACATTCCAGTTCCTTCTTTTCACACCTTATCCCATCTCTTCCATCCCTTCCCTCCATCTCATTTTTGCATTTGTCTGGAAATAAATTCCCTAGTATCATATTCGCCTGGCTGTGTTGTGGGGAGATGTCTTTTGAGGGCAGGCGATAAGAAGGACTTGGAGTGGAAATGCAGATGAAGCAGGCTGGGCTGCTGCTGGTGAGCCTGGCTCCCGAGCCAACATCGTGAGGTCATGTATGGGCAGAAGCCAGTGCTAGACTTGGTTAACTTTTAGGTGCCTCAATATTGTGTATAAAATGGGGTTACTAACAGAGGGCCTCACAGAGTTGTAACAATTGAGTTCTTAGCCTGTGGTAAGACCTCAACAACATGAGTGGGTTTTTTTATATGTATACTGGGAAGAAGTAAACATCTGGAGATTTGGAGAATGAGTATCAGATTAAAGAGAGTGACTGATTTCTTGGGCTGTGATACATGTTTTCGTTCATATTCTGACCCTTTTTATAGTCTTGTGGAGTAACAGAAAAAGTGTCAAAGATAGCTAGTGTGTCTGCCAATGCAGGAGAGACTAACTAGCTTTATCTCAGTTTGACTTTTTGATGATTAAAATATAATATGCTGGGGAAAGGAGACTAAGAAGTAAGTATTTTTTTTTTTAATCAGGACATTTTTTTGCATTCTGAAACTTGTAAGCTAAAGCTCATCAGTGCAATTTGTTGACAGAATGCTACAAGAAAGCTTTTCTGGTTTTCTGGAAAAAGAGGCTACGTCTGAGCTTTTCCCTTTATCCTTTTGCTATTTACCAACTTTCTCTGTGCTCCCACAACATCTGTGTACTGTTGCTGCGTGAACAGTCAGCTTCCTTGGCGTAGCCTGGAAGGTTCATGTTAGAATATTACTCTCACAAGGAGTAGCAGCATTCTGTTGCCAAATTTCTCTTACATCCCATGACTTGAGAATTGCTATAGTAGGTGACTGAGGAGGCCTTACCATAGTAATGAACGCCACTATTTAATGAGGGGGGTGGGAGGTATGTCAGATACACAGTAGTCTTATTTAATTCTCTCCACACCCCTGAGAGTAAGAAGGATCACATTTTATAAAAGTGGAAACTAGGGCTTGGTGCTGGGTGAGGACTTGCCCTTTTGATCTTTGTGTTACATCGTCTCAAGAAAGTCTGTGTGTCAGGGAAGGAGATCCAAAACTCAACACCTTTTATTCCTGAAGACTGAGGATTTTGGAGGTAGTTGTCTAATTGTAGTAAGATAAAAGAATTCTTAAGATTGAAACTGTAGGGCAGGGGATATAGCTCAATGGCAGAAGTGCCTGCCCGTCAAGCATGCGGCTGTGAGATTGATCACTGGTACAAAAAAACAATAAGATTGAACCTGTAGCTACGAAGATTCCATAGGATTTTGTTACTGGAAGAGAGGAAAAAAAAAAAAAACCTTAGAGGAATGAGTTCTAGACATTAAAGGACAGAAATTAGGGTAATTTAAATATGTGAAAAAGAGATGGTAGATCAACTATTTGGGGAGTCTGGAAATATACTGGGATAAAGATGGAGAGACAAAAAGAGAAGAATACTTTCTGCTAAAGAAAGTATTTATGCTAGGTCCAGTGGTACAGCACCATAATCTTCAGTTACTTGGGAAGCTGAAGCAGGGAAGACTGCAAATTTAATACCAGCCTTGCAAGTGAGGGAGACCATATTCTCAAAAAAGAATTTAAAGAGGGCCAGTCTGGTGTTAGAGTTAGTGGTTAGATGCTTGCCCAACATGAATGAGGCTCTGGGTTTGACCCCTACCCAGGCCCATACTGGGGAAGGGGGTAGCAGCAGGTTGTGTGGTGGCTGGTGATAGTGGGTGTAGAAGGAACAATGTTTGCAAAGAAACTTATAACTGATACATTTTGAGCTTTGTATTCCTTTCTGGTGTGAAAATGATCTCTATGTATGCAGTTGTGTGTATCATCTCTGTAATAAAATGAGGCAACTTTTGAGCAAGGAGTAAGGCAAACCCCTCTCCTAATGGCTTGGATGGCTGGTGGCATGACAGGAGGCGGCCGTGGTGTCCTGGGTTCACCCTGACCCTGGCAGCTCTGTTCTCCTGACCCCCTCCCTCTTGAGCAGCACTGCTGAGTGCAGCCTCTAGTCAGTTCTAGTCTAGTCTCCAGCTTACTCTGCATGTGGTAAACCAGAGCCTGGATTCCTAAATGTCCTCCAAACTCCATCTCCGTCTGCCCCTTTTACTTACTGCCACTGACTGGGAATCTTCGCCTAGATGTCCCACAGGCATCTCAGACATAGCAGGTGCAAAGCTGCGCTTCTCAGCCTCCCTATCATCCCGTGACCCAAGCTGCCACCTTCTCAGGGATTCCCAGCTTGGGCCTGGAGCACCGTTCTCTTCCTTCCCTCAGCCTCCAGCCCAAGTGTGTCTCTCTTACAGCCTGCACCCATGGCTACTTTGTCTCCAGGCTCTACCGTTCTGCTGTCCTTTCAGCTCTTAGATCCACCTCCTCCTCCCTACTGCCTCCACACTGCCTCCAGTCAGTCCCTCCTTCACACTGAAGCAAAGTGCACTTTCTAGAACACAAATAACTGGTGATGTCATTTCCTGACAGTAAGAGCCTTTACATTTAATTCTGGTATTTCGGTGTGCCCTGGCCTGCCCAGTCTCATGTCTTACCTCTCCCCCAGGCTGTACCCTTTAGGGTAGCTGCACTGTTTTTGTATTCTTTACCCAATCTGTTCCTTTTGCTTAGAATTCTGTTTTTCTATTCACTTCTAATCTCTGCTTAGAAAATTGTTGTACATCCTTTAGGATTCAACCCCTATGCCACCTCCCGATGTCTCCACGCAGAGCCCTCCCAATAGAAGGTCTATTCTAAGACATTAATACTTGAAAACCTTGTTTACCTGCCTCTTCAAGTGGTAGTAAACTTTGTGAGATTAGAAACTATTTTTTTATTTAAAAATTTTTTTTCTAATTGTCTAGTGTCTGGCACATAGGGGGGACTCAATAAATATTTATTATGTAAATGAAGGGATAAATGAATTGATGAATTCAGAGTTGGACTTTATAAACCTTAAATAGCCCAGTGCTGGTGAGTTATAGGTTGTGGAAGAGACTTCACATTCTCACTTGTGGTGAGTCTCCAACATATTCAGCTGAAGAAACAAAGAAAAGAAACAAAGCAAAGAAAGGAAGATAATGATGAGAACAGCAGCAGGTGCATTATATCTTGGCATGGAATTTCCCTTGTTCCTTAGTCCTTATAGGATGGGCAGCTGACAGTGCCGTACTTATATAGAGTTAGTATTATCCTGCCACCATTGAGAGGAAAAAGCCAAATTTTTACTAAGCCATTGTCTGTCGCACTTATTTTGCTGTTCATTGATGATTTTTCATCACTAGGAGTCGTGTACTACTTTCAGCAAGGCTTGCGTGCTCTTACCAAGAACTTGCTTCTTGGGCCTTTTTTGGTTGATGATTTAACTGCTTTTTTTTTTTTTTTTTTTTTTTTAATCGGTACCAGGGATCGAACTCACGACTGCCTGCTTGCAAGGCAGGCGCTTATGCCGCTGAGCTAAATCCCCAGCCCCTGGTTGATGATTTAAAGAGGCCCATGAAGTCCCTAGGAGAAACTGGAATGTCACAAAATGAGTGGACTTGGGACAGAGATATTTTTAATAAATAGAGTTTATTTATTTTTTTATTTTGAAGGTAATAAAATACAACAGAACAAGACAGAACAAAGCCAACTGAGACAGTATAGTGAAATTGGTACAGAACTTCACAGCAGGTTATCGGGATAACACTAATAGGTATCACAGTGTATCTCATTATCTTCACAATAGTTGTTCTTTCAATCACGTGTAGCAAAATATAATGAAATTTATCTTCACAATAGTTGTTCTTTCAATCATGGGTAGCAAAATAAAATGAAATATAGAACATTATAGAACTTATCAACACAGTATTGAATAGAGCAGTACCATTAATTAGAATAAAGCAAAACAGTAGTAAAAATATTTGCCTTCAAAGAGATGGTAGAAGGAAATCTTCCTTATTTGCTAAATTGCATGTGGTCAACCTCCTAAGACATGCTCAGATCTCTGGTTCTCATTTGCTAACGGTGGGGAGGGGACGTGGGATGTTTGACTTTTAGCCTGTACACCAGTAGGCTCACTATTGTTTAGCAGGGAGGCAGGCTGGATGCTTGGTTTCCAGCACCCTAAGTTCCAACGTGGTGTGGATCTCAGGAGACGCTGGTGGATCTCCCCCTGAAGGGGCCACAGCCTGCCACACCACAGCCACTTACCAGGGAGGAAAGCTGGTTGCTTGGTTTCCCAGCACCCTAAGTTCCAACATGGCATGGATCTCAGGAGGTGCGGGTGGTTCTCCCCTTGGAGGGGCCCCAGCCTGCCACACCCAATAGAGAAGTTTAAAAATTGTGTTAAACAATGTGTATGACTACACAAAGGCCAACTGGAGCCCTGTTATTTTAAGAGGACATTAACCAGCGTTAGGATTGCTTGATCTTGAACCAGATTCACCATCAGTAATACTTCACCTCCAACTGAGAAAAAGCAGCCAGTGCCTAGGTATTGCAGGACAGTCATGTCCACCTTCAGCTTTCCAGTGTCCTAGAGGAAACCCTGCTTTGGATGTAATACCCATTTACCTCCCTGCTTCTGATACATCTAGAATAACAAATCCATGTGCCTGAGATGAGGCATCAGTCTCTTACTGGAGTTGCTCATCAGAATGAAACAGAGCTGGCACACTAGCAGGTATATCTCACTGCACATTGGCCAGCAGAATGAGAGAGGGGGAACATGTAGGAAATCATGACTGTCTTGGAAAGGAAGGTAAAATCCCCTTTGGGGAAAGGATTATAAAGTAGACCTCTAATCCTTAGAGTAAAATTATTAGCATTACCTCTTGGATGTCTACTGTAACCCAGAAACTATGCTGCCTACTTTCCTGCTGTAATCTCCAAGTTACACATATACCAGTGTAGCTATCATTACCTCCATTTGACAGATGAAAGAAGGATTTCTGAACAGTCCAACTGCACACACAGAAAAGTGTGCATCAGCATCACTGCTAGATGTTCCCATAGGCTCTGAACTTCCCTTGTTAAAATATCATTTTCTGATTTTTGCCTGTTTTTTGTCACATGTACACATTGACGGTATCTGAGAGCAGGTCTTTGTTGATTTTACTTGCTGTTATTATAACACATGCAGGAGTAGTTGCATAGTAGACAAATGTTTGTTGAGAAGGAAGAGATTTTGAGGAAGAAGGGATTCCTAAACCTGCTCATGTAATAAGTGGTGTCACCTAACCGTGCTTCAGTATCCTCCAAAAGTCTGTAGTTTACAGTGCAATTTGAGGCGACAGAAGGAGATTGTCTTTTTGTTTCACTGTGTAAAGCTCAGTCACTCAATGACAAACACAGTGCCCTCTACTCCCAAGGACTGGAGCAAGACTTCCTGAGGATTTCTGTGGTTATTCTTTGCTGCTTCTGCCTTCCTCTCTTGCTCCCGAGGCAGCCCTTCTTTTCCCAACTTGTTTTCATTTCCCTGACCTATGCAAAGCTAATTCCGAAGACATTAATAAATATTTACTCACTGACTCATTCAGTCCTTGAGCATTCAACTCTGGGGTAGCACAGTTCAGTTACAGCACCTGACAAAGCTCTCTTTCTTGACTTATTGACCTGCTTCCTAGAGAATTAAATATTGGTTTTACAGCACACATATGGAAATGCTATCTGCAATCATTGAACCTATCTGTAAACAGACTAACCCTAGTCCACCTGGAATATCACTCAGGACTAAAAAGTCATCCAGAATAACAGGGATAGGGGTTTCTAGGAAAGCACATACAGAATGGGGAAAACACTTAGTGATCCCATGAGGAAATAATTAGTGAGAAGCAGACTAGAAATCGTCAATTGCTCTCCCAACAGGCCTGCCTCACATAGCAGGCCTCCTGTCTGGCTGCCTATTTGAATCACTTATGTTTTAAACATCTAAGTTTTATTGCTACTTAAGACTGGTAAATTCAATAGATCAGGAGACAACTGGATTTGAAGTGTTAGTTTGTTAACATATAGTTCCCAAGAGGAGGGGACCACCACCTTGGGAGAAGGTATCGCACAAAGTATAAAAGTGGGTCAGGAAGCAGAGTGATAGAAGGGAAGACAAGGGCAAGGCTAGATAAGTGGATTTAGGATTGAATGCTTTGGATAACTTTAGTGGACTTGAGGCACTGGAGTTGTCTCTAGTTGTCTGGTACCTGATTCTAGAATGGTAAGGGCAAGTTGGATAGTAGCCCCAAGGAGGTGGTCAGGGTCTGAGTCCAGGTTGGGTGGTTTGCATATCAAAGGCTTATAGTCCGTGGTGCTTGTAGACAGATAGGCAACTTGATTAGGAATTAGACTTTAGCTACTCCTGGGAGGGGTGGGCCATCAGGATCAGCAAGGGCAAAAGCATCAAAAAAAAAAAAATGCAATACAAGTGGTTGGGGAAGGGATGCTATATAAAAGTTTTGGGGTTTTTTTTGGGGGGGTGGTACTGGGGATCAAACTCATGACTTTCTGCTTGCCAGGCTGGTGCTTGTACAGCTGAGCTAAATCCCCAGCCCTATTTAAAAGTTTTGATGCTTGAGCCCTGTCCTCTAGAGATTAGGATAGAATGTTTCTGAGATGGAACCTGGAAACTGTTATTTTAAAAAAACTCTACTGCTAATTCTATTTTACTTACTTTTTAAAGATGGTGTTGTTCAAGTTGCCCAGGGTCACCTCAACTTTTCAATTTTCCTTTTTTTGCCTTAAAATCCAAGAAGCTGGGATGACAGGCACCACCAAGCTTGGCTGTTCCACTGGTGATTTTAATATACAGCCAGAATTGTGAGCCATGCCTGGCATGTATGCCACTCAGACTTACAGTATGTTGTTTCTCGAGGAATGTAACCTTTTATAGTGTACCAAGTTTGCCATAGGTTGTAGATGGCCAAGAAATACTTATGAAATTGGTTTCTAAATATAGTTGCTTTATCTTTCATTTCAGGCCTCCAACCAGGGAGACCTTCCATCTTCCTCCACCTGTTCCACCCAGAGGTCGCTGATTCCATCTCCTAAACTCTGCCTACTTGAAAACATTAAGACTTGCAACTTTCAGCCTGTTAATGATGTCTTCATGTTGTGTTTTCTGGTGTACTACTGATTTTAATATCCACTCTCATTGCTCATATTGTTGCAGTTCTAATGGGCTGGGTTATCCCTGAAAAATACATTATCAAGATAGGAAGAGTTAAAGACTCTGTACACCATCATCAAGAATATTGATCCATATTCTTTTCTCCAAAAACAAAAAAAAAGACCCCCCCCCAATGGACTTATTTAGGACATTTACCTCTACTTTTCTATATCAAAAGCCCAGTAAGATTGATTAGAAGTGTACTTAGATGTGATTTTACTGCAGTGTACTTATATTACTCCTAATGTATTTGCTAGTCCAGCCGAATTTCTAGAAATTATTATGGTATAAGACTTACACAGTATTCAAATAAGAAAGTGGCATAATTTTAAAATAGTTCTTCTGTTTGCCTATATATTTAGGAGGGTAACATACAACAAACTGAAAAAGACCTTAGAAAGGGATGAGTCCTAACTTCTCATGTAGGTAAGGCAAATCTGAGGTCCCATAGAAATCTAGAACCAAGACTTCTCAGAGGTTTAAGAGGAAGAGATCTGAACCTATTGATTGTAGATCAATGTACTTCCTATCTCTAGCAAGCTAATTCATCTTTTCTTCAAGATACGCCCAGATGTAGAAATTCATCAGTGAGGCTGGATGTGGTAGAGCACCCCTATAATCCCAGCACTCAGGAGACTGAAGCAGGAGGATAGCTGTGAGGTTGAGGTCAACCTGAAGTAGAAAGTGAGTTTGAGGCCAGCCTGAACTGCCTAGTGAAACCCTGTCTGAAAAAAGATAGAAAAAAAAAAATTCATCAGTGACTATAAGCCTTTTGGAAGTTTCTCCTTTTCTCATCTCCCAGGTATGCAGCTACCAAGTACTTCCTTCAGTTTGGATACTTATAACTCATTGTGCTTTCAAACCATCGATTTTGCCAAGGAACCAATGAAAATTGTTAGAACTAGAAGCACAGGATCCCAAGGACTTCACCTATTTGCTCTATTGCCTTTTTTATTTTTATACTTTAAAGATAATAGACTCCAACAAAACAAAACAGAACAAAGCCAATCAAAACAAAGCGGCAAAATTGGTACAGAACTGGAAAGCAGGATACTAGGAAAATAGCTAGCATAGCATATCTTGTTATCTTCACATTAGCTGTCCATTCCATCAGGTATAGCAACATCAAACCAAAACAAAACAGAGTAAAACAAATCAAAACAGAACACTGAATAAAGCAAAACAATTAATCAGAACAAAATGAAATAATAACACTGTTGGACTTAAAAGACAGAAGGAATTTCCCCATATTTGTTGTATTGCATTCTGTCATCCTCACAACAGATGTTCAGATTGCCAGCCCCAGGCTTGCAAAATCAACCAAACAATACAAGAATTTAGTTGCTTTTTGTACCGCAGTTGCTATCAACTCAGCTTTTCCTCCAGATCATTGTTACTTACAGTGGGGTGAGTAGGCTCATAGGACTGACTTTTCTCTTTTTGGACCCTGCATGGCTTGTGTGGCTTATCAGAAAGGCTGGCTAGTTGGCTTCTTGTTTGACTCCTCCCAGTCCCAGCATAGCCGATTATCAGGAGGTGCTGACTTTTCTCTTTCTGGATCCTGCATCTGTTCTATTGCCTGTTAAGTATTTAGTTCTAACCATAAAGACAGAGAAAGACTGTTATTTCTCTCTGCTGAGGGATCTGAAAAGGAAGAAACTAAATAGAAATACTTTGAATACTTTATTGTATTTTATTCTTACATTAAAATAAATAGAAAACATAAAATTCAAAATACTGATGAGAAGCCTGGGTTTCATGATTGTGATGCACTTGGGTCAGAGATGGAACTGATGGAGAGCAGCAAATTAAAAGTGCCAAGACTCAAGTGCTTTGTAGACATTTGTTGAATATTTGTTTAATTCTGCATAAAAGAAGAAAAGGAAAGAATCTGGATGAAAGAAGAAAAAAGAATCTGGGACCATGTTATCTAAGAATGTTTTGGGTTTTTTTTTCAAAGAATGTTTTTAATGGTTATGAAAAATGTTTTATTCTCTACAAAAACTACTGTCTGTCACATAAATTTATTCAACTTCACATACTAAACACAGTTGTACACATTTTATAGGAATATATAATAAAAATTATGGATTTTCAATATAGTGAGGATCAAAAACTAAACTATAAGCAGGTATCTAAAAAGACTGTCATACAGTCTTTGCTACAGTGCTTGGGGAGACAGTTCTGCTGCCACTTTTCTTCATTAAGATTTTACAAGGTAGCTCAATAGCAAGTGAGGTAATTGGTCATATTCACTGCAATTACATTATCCCCTAACTGTGAAAGTTACAGTGGCTTCCAACTCCTAGGCCAGTACTGTTCCATCATTTTATATGAAAACCCAGGGGGCAATAACCCAACCATATAAGCAACAAAGTATGAGGACTGAGAGACTATAAAGAGGTTGGTGTTGCAATCAAATAATTTAACTTGACATATTTAATAATGTGAATAATCTTTTATGCTTAGCCATTATGTTACAAAGTGAGATTATGTAGATGACTTTAATGAGTATTTTTACATGTTAAGCTAAATTTCTCCCCTTTTTCTTTGGTTATTAAAACAAAAAAGAGAGAGAATGGTTGTAATTTGTCTAATATCACTTCACTAGCTAGGATTTTTAGGTCCCTCTGCCATATGCTCCAGGAAATAAGTTGATTTTCTCTGCACCTTTTTTTTTTTTTCTTTTTATCGGTACCAGGGATCAAACTCATGACTGCCTGCTTGCAAGGCAGGTACTTATGCCACTGAGCTAAATCCCCAGCCCCTCTCTGCACCTTCTTCAAAGAATAGTGTATGGTTTTATAGCTGCTTGGTGGAAGACACATTAGTAACAGATTTATTTGTGAGAAAGCCAAGTGGATAATTTGGGTAATTCTGAAAGATTCATCTTAAACTTCCAATCTTCAGTATTGCAGAATCTGCCTATATAAATATAAATATTTGCTTTGGTTTGATAAATCAACTGTGTTTGTTTCCAAGCAAGTTATAAAGAATATAAAATAGTCTTCCTTCATTCCTGATGGCCAGATCCGATGCTTAGGAGGGGAGTCAGAAGATGAACAGGAGGCTGAAAAGTGTATCCTGAATCCTGAGGTACACTTGGAATTCATTTGCTCGTTAGGAGCAGTTAAAAAAAAAGTTCCCAGACTAGCTCCCCAAGGCTCATGTTAAGAAACTGTATAGGAGAAAGTGTTTTATCTGTCTACACAGTGTGAACATGTTGTAGGGAAGGGAATACTGGTTTGCAAGTTAGGAAGCATGGTTGAAGTTTGGGATTGCTAATAACTTGAGTTCACATAATTTGACTAGGTCTGTGTTTCATCATCTGTGAAGTAGAGAGTTTTATATTTGGTAATAGTTCACATCCTTTCAATAAAAGGCAAAGGTTAAGGCTAAAGCAAAGAGTGGGGAATCTTAAGCTATATGCCCACTCAGGGGTATTTTCTAAATCATGTTACAGCTGCTGTTTTTTTGCCTTTTATCATTGTTATAACAGATCAGTTTAAAAACTGAGTGGGAGACAGTAAAATATGAACTACTCAAATTAATGGCCTTAGTTCTTCAGTCCAAGATATGTTTTCAGTGATTACTTCCTAAAGAAAGGTCTCAAAGAAATCCCAAAGTTTTTTGGTGTCTAGAATATTTCAGCTAGAAAGTAGCAAACAGTAGCTGGGTGTGGTGGGCCCAGGTACTTGGGAAGGTACGATAGGAGGATGGCTTGAGTCCCTAAATTCAAGAGCAGCCTAGGCAGCAACATAACAATACCCGTTAGGATGAGGTGGGGGAGTGGCAAGTAGCAGCAACCCTTCACCACTTCCCTAAAGTAAATAACTGGCAAGACAAACAATAAAAATAGAATTCTAAAGAAAATGTAGATGATGAGGAAATCAGAAGATATATTATGCATGTCCTACAACTCTCGAGGTTTGTGCTTATTAATGAGAATATGAATTTTTCTGGATTGACTCATTCAAACTATCATAGGATGTGCAGCCATTGGAAGAAATGGGAATTTTCTTTGACTGGCATCCCACCCCCCTTTTTGGTGCCAGGGAATACAATCATTAATTTAGATGAAGAAACTAGTGAAATAAGATGTATCAGTATTTTTCATTCTTCTTAGTTGCCCTTTCCTTCATTAGATTTTTCTAAATACCTCACTGAGATAGAATCTGTCCTTTTCTCATTACCCACTGCTCTTATTCCTTGTGCAACATTTGCACAGATGGTCACATTTTGTGTACTTTTTTGCATTCTGTCATTATGCCTGTTCTCTAATGTGTGCAAGGTTTCCTGGGTTTAAATCTACCCTCGCCAAATTTACACTTTTTGTTGTCTTCTCTACTTCCAAGCATTTGCCAGCCTAGAGCTTCCCTTAAAATGCAAACAGTTTATGCCTCAAAATCTGTGAAGGCTGGTGATGGCTGTTTAAGAAACTACTCATCCATCTTAATGCAGCACTTACACTGCTTGTTCTCCAATTGCCCATCATCATTTCACTCAAAGGCAGTGATTATTCATTCACAGCACATTTACTGAGCTTCCACGATGAACAAGTCACCATGCTAGCTACTCTGGAAGATACACAGAGATAAGTAAGATGCCTCTGATTTCTGTAGCAATTACTGATACACAATTCTTTCAACAATTAATCATGTACTGCCTTGTGATGTCTCTTACACAATCTAGAAAACATTCTTTAAATCCTGCTATTCTATTTGATTTTTCATTTGTTAGTGTCTTTACTCATTGAAATAGCTGTCAAACGTCTGTGATGTGCCAGTACTATTTCAGCAGCTGGGTTAGAGATCAAGAAATGAGAGTTTTTGCCATCCAAAAAGGGCAGACTATAGTACAAAAAAAGGAAATGTAGATAGATCAGTAAGTACAACAACATGTCAAATGCTACTGGGATCCTAAAACAGGGATACTCAAATTTTCAAGGGCATGAAGCAAGGCCTTACTGAAGAGGTGAAAACTCAGGCCTGAAAAGACAGTATCAAATGGACATGGTAAAGCAAGGCATTCTAAATAAAGGGAATGTCCAGAACAAAGGCACAAAGATGTAAAGAAAGTGGTGTATTTAGGAAATATATGGGTAAAGGCAGAACATAAATTCCTGTGTAATGAAGTTGGGTATATAAATCAGGGTTTATGTTGGTCCATGTTAACAAAAAAGTTGTACTGTAACAAGGAACTTTCCCCCTCTGATTACATGTGTAGCATATGCTTATTGTAAAAAACATCTAAACATTTGGAGGCATGTATAAAGTAGAAAATGGCTTGAGTCTTTCAGATTGTTTTCTACAGGTAAACTAATAGGTAGTTAGGTCGAAAAATTATAGGCAAACAGGACTAGGCCCTCAAGAGAGTCAGTGCAGATGAGCACTGTGGCTGGAGGCACATCTGTCAAACCCTCAAGACAAAGAATGACTAGGCCTACGCACCTTCCCAAGGGATAAGCAATTAATTGAAGATTATACTATAATTGGTATCAGATGATCAAATAAAGTCTAAAGCAATTGGTATCAGCTGATCAAATAAAGTCTAGATAGACATTTGTCACTCAGATGGGTGACCAGGACCTCATCATCCATCCTTTCCTTAAAAGGTCCTTGTAACCCTGCTACATGATTGGCTTCCCCACTGGATTAACATTACCTAAGAATCTATACTTGTAATCTTATCATTGCTTTGGCTCATGTTATACCGTTGGTGATTTTGTATCTACCTTGTGATTTTTCTCTGTAAAACTTGCTTTCAGAGGTGGTCTTGGCAACCCACTTGTGGATTCCCCCATTTCTCAAGAGTTAGTGCTTTCCATAAATTTTTCCTGAGGCTGGATACTGTAGCCGGTAAAGCCAAGCAGCTCCTATCACTCTCACCCTTAGGAATTGCCTCTGGCGCCAAACTAAGACCAATGGGCTACCCTAATGCCCGCTTAGGTTCCACCCCATGCCTCACTCCATGTGTTCCAGCCCCGGGGTGGAGATGCCACGCTCCAGGGGGTCGCGGGTGTCTCTCCCCGAATTCCCAAAATAAAGGTTATTTATATTTTACACTTCTTACCTTTTCAGCGCTGCTGGTCCTCCTCCTCCTCCCCCCACAGTTCTATCATTTCCTACTCTTAACCTCTGTCCTTTAGAATTCATGCTTCGATTTTGGGGAACATGAACTCTGCATATCTGGCATCTAGCAAGTTGGGAGTTATTTCCCCTATATCACTAACATTACCTTAAAATGAGATCACACTAGAGTTTTTCATTCCTAAGTACTTCTTAGATATGATTCCACTGTAGTACATGCAGATCTATTTTAGTTTTTAAAATGCTTGTACAGTTGGTGGTGTAGTATCAGGAAAGCCTAATTACTGGAGCCAGACTGTGTGTGTCCAGTCTTTCAGCACACCATTTAACTAACCTGTGTTTCAGTTACTTCTCTGTAACATTAACATATCAAACCTACATGCTACATAAGGTTTTTGTGAAGATCAAATTAGTCAATACATGTAGAGTTCAAAATTGGGCCTGTTAGATGAAAATCAGAAGCGATTCCATTATTTACTTACTCAATATTCAAAGAGTGCTTTAAACAAGTGATAAAATTCAGTTCTTTCTGGTACCTTTTGGAAATAAGGAAGACAGGAGGTGGGGACCTTTTGGGCAGACTGTTGCAATGTGGAAGGTTGGCTGATACTGACTGAGAAAGGACAGCAAAAATAAAACTCTGAAGACATTTTTAAGAGAACAAATGCTAGACTCTTGACTGCAGATGGCTAGGAAAAAAAGACAATCTTGTGATTTCCACATTTTAGCTAAAGAGGACTATGTAGAAAGTAAAGCCATCTTTCTTTGCACATTTGACATGCTGAGTAGTTCCTAGGCCTGTAGGTACAGAACATACGGCAGCAGCAACAGGATCTCCTCTCTAAGGAGCCTCCATTCCAAGGGCCTTTATGACGGGGCAGGTACCCGACAAATAACAGACAAGTAAATGAACAAGAGTTTCAATCTAGTTTATACTTCTCGATTGAATAGGAGTCCCAGAAATATTCAGGGACTTCAAAACTTACTGAGCTTTAACAAGTTTAACAATCCTCTGTCCTGATGCATGTGGAGCCGGAGACTCTTTCAGGGCAGTAGATGAGTGAGTGCCCAAACAGTTATCGCCTCTCTCGAGCTCGCGACGCGGCAGGTTAGATCAGCCAGGGCAAGCTGAACGCCGCGGCCCAAGGTCTCCAGTCCCGAGCGCCGGGGCGGCCCCGAGGCGCTGGCCAGGCCGTCGCGCGGCGCCGAGGCCGCGGCGTCCCGCGCCGCTCCCGGGATGAGGGGTACTAGCGGCCCCCCTCGGCCGGCGACGGTTGCGGCCCCGCGTCGCGAGGCACTTCCGGCGTGTGCCGGGGTGGCCGGATGACGTGGCTGAGTCAGAGGAAGAAGCTGGGAGGCCGGGGGGCGGGGAGGCTCGGCAGCGGCGGTGACGGCGGAGGCGGAGGAGGCAGCGGCTCGGCCCGGGCCCCGTGCGTCTCTCCGCGCCCGGTGGATGCGAATCGGCCGCGACAGAGGCGGCGACGACGGCGGAGGAGTCGGTGGCCGGCGCCGGGCCGGTAGGAGCGCGGAAGATGAGGCCGCTGGGCGCTCCTGGCGTGGCGGCGGCCGCCGCGCTGTTGCTGCTTCTGTTGCCCCGGGCCCGGGCGGACGAGCATGAGCACACGGTGAGGCGCCCGGCCGCCCCCGGCCCGCTCGCTCCCGACAGGCCCTGCGCGGCCTGGAGGGCCGGCAGCCCGGTGCGCCCCGGGCCGCCCGTAGCCCCTTCCGGTCGGGCCTGGCGGAGCCGGAACCGCGCGGGCCAGGAGGAGGCATTTCCGTGCGCTCTGGGGCAGGGTCCACGCCCGGGGTGCGTGGAGCCCCGCGGGTCTGGGGAGGGCCGAGGGCCGCCGCGCCGCGGGACGGGCACTGCCTGCTCTTTGGCGCTTGGGGGCTGCGACGTCGCGAAAGATGGTCACGGGTAAACAGCCGCCACTTCGAGGTCTCCGGTTGTGTATCCCTCCCTCTCCTGCCCCAGCCGGCTTAGAGCCCGGGGTGGGGACGGCCTTAAAAACTCGACGGGAAAGAGGTTTCCACGTGTCGACGCTCGCAGCCTACTCGCCCGCGCTGCAAGCCTGGCTTGGAACTTTTCTCCTCGCCCCGGGGGCCCCCAGAAGGGGCCAGTCAGCTCAGCTCTGTAGAGATCGAGAGTGACCCGCCCCGTCTTCTGGCCGGATCCCGGAACAGTGTCGTTTGCTTTGGGTATAGAGTTGATTTAGTTGTATTACACATCACCGCGTGGGTGTTCCAGTCATTTACACTTAGGGCTGTAATTCGGTGGCTTCGAAGTGGTAGACTTGAGCTAGGCCAGAAAGTCGAGTTAACTGAGAAGGTTGTTTGCCGAGTGATTTGTTAATTTCTCTGCCCTTTCAGGTTAAGATTTTGCATGTGTGGATGTGTATATTACTAAATCCGAAAGATAAGGAGTTCTCGGTGGTACACAGAATATGCGAGGAATTGAAATCAGTTTTATCTGCATTTAATGGGTCTGATTTCAGATATGTAATTAGTAAAACTTTTCTTAAGTTCCTGGGTTCTTTGGGCTGGTATTCTACCTAACACTATAAAAGTTTTAAACTTGGCTGTTTTATCTTCAACCACCGCCGGACTTTTAAAAACCTGTGTGTATATATAATTTTTTTAAAGGCACAAATCCCGAGTTGGTGGCATGTTTCTGTGCTACACTTATAGAGACTCCACCTTAACGCAGTTTTGTTTGGAAGTTAGTAAAAACTTTCCACACCCCCCCCCATCAAGTAACCTGTTTCAAAGTATAAGAACCCTTACTGTTTCCTGTACTACTCAGGAACCGTACATACATGGGAATCATTGACTACCTTTTAATTAACGACATCCTTTTGGTTAATGGTATTAGCAATATTTTCCAATTTTAAACATTTAAAATCTACTATGTAAAACTCAGAAGTTTTAAGTATATTGTTGTACCATATAGACATGCAGATTTCAAAATACCAGTCTTTAACCTTGTGTTTTATAATGCTATATATGTTTGGAAACTTGCATTAAAATTTAGTAAATTAGAGATGTATAAAGGACTTAGAATAATTTACAAATTTAAAAATATTTGGTAATTTCAGTGAAATTTCATTACTAGGAATATTTTACTTTTTAATGCAACTAACTGATACATACTTTTTTTTTGCCAGCATTGATAAAAGGCGTTTTGTAAACAGCCGCAAAATGTTATTTATGAAATGTTTGCTGGACAAAAATTTAAAATCCGTGCCACTTTCTTACATGTCTGTGTAGAATTGCTCTCATGATTATACATTTATTAAATATTTAAGTGTTTTGGGAAGCATAACATTAAGATGTAAGTAAAAGATTCAAATATGTATCACTTTCATTACAGTTTTTTGCTGTTAGTCAAATCTTTAACTTTTTCTAGATTTCTTGAAAATATTTCCTATCTACATAACAGTACTGGATGGGCTGTGGTCATGTGATTTTTTGTTTGTTTGTTGTTTTGACCCTTAGCAAGAAGGTAAAGGTAGCTAGTGAGAGAATAAAACTGAAAGAGGAGACAAATTGCCAAGGAAAGATTGCTGCTGAGTGGATGTTTAATAAATACTTGTGGAATTGAGTTGTTAATTAAAGAACAGCTTTCAGAAGCTAAAGCTTGCCCTTTCGATGAACTTTCTGTGAAAACTTGTTTCCAGATAAAAATAAAACTAAGGTTTTTGTAGATTATGTGCTAGACATTATGCTAAATACTTTTACGTGTATTAATATTAAACATACATTGATGATCCTGTGAAGTGGGTCTTATATCCTTTACAGATGAGGAAACAGACCAGAGTCACTTGCATCAAACCATACCCCTAAGAGGAGTAGGGGTAGGTTTTGAGCCTTTTCAGCTAGCCAGGGTAGCATCTTCTTGTGTCTGTAATCACTTGGGAGGCTGAGGCAGAAGGATTGCCACGAGTTCAAGGCCAGTGTGGGTTGCGTGTCTCAAAAGAAAAAAAAAGTCTTTAGTGTTTTCAGCTAATATGTACTACTGCCTTTTATTTTAAAACTAGGACTGTAAAAACTGGTATTAAATTGAATAGGTCTCTATATTGATAGTATTACTAAGTACTAAGGAAACATTTGGAAATCATTAAGGATTAGTCTAGCTGCATACAGAATTGTTACTAAAGAGATGTTTGGGTTAGTGTTAAAGAGGGACAAGGACAGCTTCATGGACTGTGATGGGGATGTCATCTGAAGCCGCACAGTACTGCTTCTTTTAATGCTCTGCTACCACCATCCTGAAATTCTTAATGTTTGAACAGAAGCCTCCATTTTTATTTTGTGCTAGGTCCCCAAATTATGCAGCTGGTCCAAGAAGGTACAGGTACTTCCTGCCATTCCACAAAACTATTTTGCTCTTTTTACTGGACCTACAGAATTAGAACACAGTTGGCTGTTTGACACATATAATATCTTTTATATGGGTATTTAAGGTTCATGTAATATTTTCAGAAGAATGATGAGAAGGAAATGTTCTGTGGACTTCTAAAGTGTATATCTAAAGTATGTATATATACCTAGAATATATAAAGATATATATTCCTTTTAGTTTTTAAAAGTTGAATCATGACAATGGTGTAGGTCACTGGCGGAACACTTGTATAATATGCAAGGGTCTTGAGTTCAATCCCATCATTGCAAAAAGTTGAATCATGGATTATGGGACATATAATTGAAATTAAAATGAAAACTTTCATGAAAGAGACTGAATTGTTTAAAGGGTCACCAAAAAGCTTCTAGTAAATGAAAGATAGGTGTATAGGGTATGATTTAGGCTTGTTTGGTTGAAGCATAAGAAATCACCTAGAGTTAAATTGCCCTGTCTCTTAAGGTTCCAGAGGACTTCGTTAAAATTGTTTCAAGCTTTGCACAGTGACAGTATTGTGGCCAATGAGATTTATCCAACGTGATTATTGCTGATTAAAAATGACTTCAAATGAAGAATTATAGAACTTTAGAACTGAAAGATGAGATCATTTAATCCAAAATTCACCTTCCACCTTCCGAAGCTGGGGATTTAGATCGGTGGCACAAGTGCCTACCTGGCAGGTATGAGGTTGTGAGTTCGATCCCCAGTACCAAAAAAAAGTGTCTTTTCTAATGGCTGATAGAAGCCTAGTAGGTTGCTGAAGGTTGCAGAAACGGTTAGACCTTCCTGATTTCTGGTCCTTTTTTCTTCATGTCTTATTTATTTTTTACTTTTGATACTGGGGATGGAACTCGCAACCTTGTGCTTACCAGGCAGGTGCTGTACAACTGAGCTACATCCCGGCTGTCTTGTATGTTATTTCCATCATAAGAGTATGTAAAGATGTCAACACTAAAATACCAGTCATCGAGGGCAGAGTAATCTTGGGGCATTTTATGCTTCACACTGTAGCCATGGGACTTATATGAGTTCTGTTTCTTAAACATGATCACAAAGTCACTCTCCCTTCGTGGTCCTCCAGTCTGTTACATACCCAAGCAGTGGTGGCTTGGCACAGCCAGTGTTTGGTGCTTATTGAATGACTTGAATTATTAGGGAGCTATCAGGGACAAGGATATGTTGTGTTAGAAGCATGAAACCCTGTTGCTTAAACCATAGTGAACAAAGCCAGGCCAAAGTGCACATAGTCTTGGACGTGCTTATGGAATAAGGGTTTTTACCTAGACCAAAATTCCATTTCTTTATGATGCACTGTACTTCTGATAGTCTTAGAACTTCTGTGCTTACAATACCTTATCTGACCTCTGCCATTAAATGCTTTGCATGTACCGTGGAATGAGTTGAAAATGATTTACTTGCTTTACTTTGTCAAGTGACAGCCTTTTGTCTTTATTTCTCCTGGGAATTAACCCAGTCTGGCCTTACTGAGATCCTTCTGCTTCATTCAGCCTCCTGAGTGCTAGCGCTATGGGTGTGCACCACCACCTCCAACTGAGTATGGGAACTCCTGAAACTTAGAGATTCATAAAGAGAATGAACTATTTTGTGAGTTTGTGAATGTTGTAATATAGATCTAGTTTTTAGGAAATGTTATAACTTGTCCTATTTTCAGCTGCACTCGATGGACTGGAAGTTTATTTAGGTACAGAGTTATTTTGAGAAAGAACAGTTATCTCAAGAGACTATTAAAAATATACTTTATCTATATTAGAATTTGGATGTTTTAAATAATTAAAAGGCTTTGAAATTTTGACTTCTGAAATATTTTCAGGACTAGAGTTTGCTTGCTGTCATTTTACTTTAAAATAAACATGTTGCCTTCCCATGCAAATGAACAGTGGCATTTGGGTGTTCATTGGATCCTTCTGTCCCTTGCTGGTCAATATAAATTACGATTTCTTTATTCAGATCTTACAAAGAGCACATAGTACTAGTATCTCATCAGTGTTTCTCCTGAGAAAAATTAATTTTTGGCCTCTGTTGAGGAAGAAATTTTTAGTCCACTTTTCCCCCAGTACTTACCACAGAAGATTTAAATGAGGAGCCAATGTTGGTAACCTCTTGAGGAAAAGCTTACTCATTAGAGGTTAGGGTACAAATAGCTTCTTAGGGTGGCTTTTTCCTTTTGGGCAGATCAAGAGCTAAAATAGAAAAATTATTTAGTTGGTTTGTATGCCTATACTTTTTTCATGTTTTCTTTTTTGTTTTTATCGGTACCAGGGATCGAACTCACGACTGCCTTCTTGCGAGGCAGGTACTTATGCCGCTGAGCTAAATCCCCAACCCCTTTCATGTTTTCTTGATTTAGTTTTTTGCTCTTTGGCTAGTGAAACTGACTAGGAGTTAGAAAAACTATAGCCTTAAACTTGTAAACTTGATACTGGTTAGTTATGTAACCTTGGGCAAGTTAGTATCTTGTTTCTTGTGTTTTTTCTTTTAGTCTGTAAAATGGGAGAATAGGACTACCTTACAGGATTTTGAGTGGATTATATGTTCATGTGAAGACCATACACTCATGCCTAGCTCATGGTTTGTACTTTTTAAATGTTAGCTAATGGGGTACTGAGCTAGTGAGATGATGTCTTATTAGGTATTGATCAGTTAGGCTTTACCTGAGGATTGGAAAAAGGAAGATTTGAACAGTACTAAGATAAGTAGAATTTCACTGAGAAAAGAAGGGATTATAATATAGGGGGAATGACAAGCAGGGTGAGACTAAGAGGAAGGCAGTAGTGTAACATTTTTGGCTCTAGTGGGAAGTCTCTTAAGTTGAGTTTAACAGTGAAATTCTTTTGAGGTCTGGAAAATAGATACGTGAAGAAAGCAAGGAGCCTGAGTAGGTCTTCTCTCATTTGGCTTCTCTCCAGTGACCTCAGTAGGCGGAATTACTGCCATGCTCAGGGCTTCCTGATGCACTGTCGTGATTCCTCAAAGTCCAGCTTGCCTTTTTCTGGTTATATGTACTTTGCAGGTAAGTTATAAAAGTTCATCTTAGTGTTACTGACCAAAGCTTGAAGGTTTTCTAAGGAAGTATTTAGAAAGTGCTTGCTAGGATTTTCTGGAACGTTTTGGTGGGGAGTTAGACCAGAGATCTTGTAGAGGGAAGATTCCTATCTGCCACTCACTTCCCATAGTGTTGGGGAGCTGAGAGGCTTGATCTGCAGCATTTTAAAAACATTTTTTTTCTTTCCCTTAAAAAGTCTCTCTTTTGGTATTTTGTAACTTCAAGATGTTTTAAAATACATTTTCTTGAAAACAAAAAGTACTCTTGACCTTGACGTGGGAGCACTTTCAGGGACAGTCAAGGTTTGAGACAAAAGTAAACATTGTAAGTTCCGTATGTCTGGCCAGAGTCTGCATACAAAGCAGCAATCGTCAAGTATTATTTTTGCCTTGATATTCTGTATTTTGTATTGCACAGAGAGCATTTTACCTTGCTAAATAGTTTTTTAATTCTAACATCAGCTGTGGTCATTTAGTGATTGGTTTAGGGAACTGGTTTTTTTTTGGCGGGGGGGGGGGATCCAGGGACCAAACTCACAGTCTTGTGCTTGCCAGGCAGGTGTCTATACAACTGAGCTAAATCCCTGGCCCTAGGGCACTGTTTTGAGATTTTTTTTTTCCCTTGGCAAGTCTTGCTGTGTAGTTCAAGCTGACCAACGGACTCTGAATTGACTGTGTAGTCCAGGATGGTCTTGAACTTCAATCCATCTGCTCCAGCTTTCTTCCTGAGTGCTGGGATTACAGGTGTGCACTGCCACATCTGTTTTATTTTGAGAATTTTGAAGTGGCATTTTTTTTTTTAAGCAGAAAGTAGTACTTTGATTATTGTTACTTGACCTTGAGGATTGAGGATTGAATATAGCAGTGATGACCTACATATATTTATCAACCTTCAAAAAGAATAGTTATGAATGGGAATATATGGATACATTAACAGTCATTTCTTTTTTATTCCTTTATATGTGAAAATTACCTACAATTGTTTTTTCTAAACTCAATCAAAGCAGCTTATAATTTTCTATATTGTATCATCTTGACCCTTGTCGTCAGAGCAGAAGTAATCATTTCTTTTTTTTTTTTTTGGTACTGGGGATCGAACTCATAGCCTTGCGCTTGCCAGGCAGGCATTCAAGCCCCTGAGCTAAATCCCCAGCAGAATTAATCATTTCTTTATTGTTGCTATAGTAGCTCTTTGCCTTAATTATAACACTTCTCTATTGTTAATCATTTACTTGTTCCACTGTGCCTATTGAATGTCCTAAAGGAAAGGAGAGTATTTTATTTATCTCTATAGTCTTAATACCTAACACTGTGCTGGGTCTCGTGTTTGAAAAGGGAGGTAGTACATTTCTTTGATGACCTGGATGTCTTGTGTGGATCGATGAGACATTTACAGTACTGTATTTGAAAAAGAGGTGACTAGTTTTAAGTCTTAGAGGTGATGGTGGTGATATGGATCAAAATGAAGAGGAACTAGGAATAGACAAATGTTTTTTGGTTTTCTGGATACACAGAGGTTTTGGGGTTTGAAACTATGAGAAAATGGTAGTTGGACAAGTGGACAACTTGTTTGTGTGGGATGAATTTGGTTTTAGGGATGTCAGGATTTTAATTGAAAATATTTAGTTAGGGTTGGTGGGGGGTTGGTAGAATGCTTGCCTAGGTTATGTCTCCAGCACCACAAAGCAAAATGGAACAGAAAGTATTGATTGATTGGTTTCAGGTGGAACGTGGGAGTTTCCCCATTTACACTGTAGATTGCAATTTTTTGAGTTTTTGCATGAAATTCATATATGTTACCTAGAAAAATTCAAGGAATAAGAGTTTGAAGAAAAAATGTTATTATTTCCCTTGTAGGTGTCCCAAAAATGGAATAGGTGACATAAAAGTATTAAGGATTTCATAGTGGACTAATTGGGTAGCTTCCTCTGTTACTTCTTTTATGACAGCTGTCTCTAAAATTGTTCAGTGTTCATCTTTCTCTTTAGACATCAGTGGAGCAAGGAATGTGTCTTATTCAAGGTTGAGTTCTCAGTTATAAACAGTTTCTGGCACAATAGGCACTCAGTAAATAATTGTTCAGTGGATTAACTTATGCACCATTCATTGACTTAAATGTTTCTTATGATAGCTTAAGTGAATGTTGCTAATTAGAACTACTAGTTTTTAAATTACTTAGGTGGGCCGGGGATTTAGCTTAGTGGCATAAGTGCCTGCCTGGCAAGCGCAAGGTCATGAGTTCGATCACTGGTACCAGAAAAAAAAAAAATTTAAATTACTTAGGTAATTGGTTTTTATACAGTCATAAGGATTTTAAACTTGTAGAGATCTTAGAAATCTGTGGGAGATCCCACAGTCAGAAAAGTAAAGTTAGCAGTCACTGGACTGCAGTACATACTTAGCTATATGTACTATTTGCTGATGGACAGAATCATAATTATTTAGAGAATATGCCCATAGTGCATGTCTTTTAGGCTGGTGAAATACTGACTTGGATGCACTTGTGATTTCATAGACTGACTTTTCCCTGCATTTAGTCATTTCTCACTAGTACTTTGACCAGGAGCTATATAAAAGGCTAGAAGGGAAAAGGAGGTGTTATTTATGTGTACTAGCAGCATTTTTTAAAAAATCTAATAATTGGCATGAAGTTTGAGGTAAACTATTGACTTTGTTTCCTCCTTTGTTGCCCATGTTAGTGTGATGAATTATGTTGGTTTTAGGTTTATCATTGTTTAATATTATATTCTTTATCTTTTAAACATACTCTTATGAGTTATTGGACTTTGTTTAAACACTGTCCTTTGTAAAAGTTTAGAAAAGGTGGATCCTGAGATCACAATCAGAAGATACAATTTTAAAAGTCAGTTTGATTTTTAAGAAATATACATTGATCATTCAATATTTTATTTCATAGATTCTTGAACACTGAGAATACACTTTTGTTAGGAACAGATAACATGGTTCCTTAATATGTGTTAGATTGATGTGTACATGCTTGCGCATTCTTAATTTGCTTTTCTTGTTTCAGTATCAAGATAAAGAGGAGGTGGTCTTATGGATGAATACCGTTGGGCCCTACCATAATCGCCAGGAAACATACAAATACTTTTCGCTTCCATTCTGTGTGGGGTCAAAAAAAAGTATCAGTCATTACCATGAAACACTGGGAGAAGCACTTCAAGGAGTTGAATTGGAATTTAGTGGTCTGGATATAAAATTTAAAGGTAAGTAAACCTTAATAGTTCTTAAAGTATGAGTTAGACTATACATTAATTTCTTAACTTTGGCACTAATGACGTTGGGGCCAGATGATGCGGGGCTGTCGTGTATATTGAGGGTGTTTACCAGAATAAGTTGTTTCCACAGTTATGTTCCCTTAGTATAATTCTTCCTCCAGTGTGTTTTCTAGTGAACCCTCTAGTAATTAGATGTATGTAAGCTAGCGAAGGCCCTCATAAATTTATAATTTCTGGGAGTATGAGACTATCCTTGTTTGTTTTTATTAATTGAAAAGGAAGTTTTGTCCTTCTATTTATTCACTTTTTCTTTGTAGAAGAGTCTCTTTTGCGTGGAACTTGAACTTTGACTAAAATTTGGCCACTCTTTTTTTGGCCATTCATCTAAGATCACAATATACAGTTTATTTCCTATTGTTATTTTCTAATTATTTTATTATGAAATTTTGTGTTTTTCATTGAAGGGTGCTTTTTATTTTCTTTTTAAATATCTACTTATATTATGTTAAAATAAACTTTTAAAAAGATAATACGGTTATTAAGAAATTTTGGGTAAATCCACAAATTTAGACTTGCACCATTGACTCAGTATATATTTATCAGTCTATAAATTTGCTCTCTAAAAAAAAGTGCTCTCTGAACAAACAAGCTGTTTAAATTTTAAGTTAAAAACTTAAGAATTTGGAAAAAGATCTTCATTACACAGTATGTATTTATCAGGTCTTTGATTGTGTTTATGCTTTTTATTTTCCTCTGAAGTTTGTTGAGGTGTATTTCCTTCGTAGACTTTCTTAGCTTAGTGAACTAAAGCTTGAGTGAATTTTTACAGATGTTTCATTGTCTTGCTTTTGAATAGAGCATGGGCTTTGTAATTTGGAACTTTGAATTTTAGTTCCTTTTTTTTTTTTTTAACTACACTGATTTTTAGTAAAGTTGTTTACTCATCATTCTCATGTACAAAATGAATTGCGACTGCCTTCTGATATTTTAGTACTTTGAAGAAAAAGATGTGAAAAAGATATAAAGTTAATGTTTCTTTAATTTTGATAGTTAAAATTTACTCTAATTTTTAGAATTTTAAGAAATTGTGATTGGAAACCGATATACATACTGATATTCTCTTTCCGCCATATTATATCCCTTACGGCTTAATTATAAAATTAAGTTGTAAATTGAGACTACAGTGGTATGGCCTGTTAATTTTATGAATCTTTGTAAACATGCCCTAAGGCTTGTGTTTTAATTGAATCAGGTGATTTAAATATTTAGGTACAAATAAGGTAGAAATAAATTATATGAGATATTTAGAACCACAATACTATATTTAATGTACATGTTTTCTGCTTTTTTATATATAGTAGACTTTTCTGATTTATTACAGAGGAACCAATAAGAGAGAATAGGCAAAAATAGGGAGTGCTGTTGTGCTATTATGATTTCATGAATTTTTGAAATCCTCACTTGATATTTTCTAAAGAAGAGTGCTCATTTAACAATTTTAACTTTTTCCCTTTTATTGGTTCCCTGAAGCTGAGATACAGAGATTGCTTAAATAGAGGGAGATTGTTTTATGGACTAGAAGAGTGGAATATATTTTCATTTCAACACAAGCTATGTACTTATAGATTGAAAGAAAAGCTAACCAAATATTCCCTCAGAGTTGGAGGTTCCTTGGGGTTTTGTCAACTTTGCACTCAGTTTAGGTATGCTTTTTAAAAAGTTGCTAATTAAGTGGTCCAGATGAAGTAGTAAAATGCAGATTAGATTTCTCTTCCTTCCCAGTTGTAGGCTTTTGTTTGCTCTAGTCAAGGGTAAAGTTGATCATGCTTTGAAAAGTATTCCTGGTTGTTACTTATCACAACATTTTAAAGGTAGGATGCACCTTGGAGATTGTATCATTTAACTCCTTCTCATGTAGGCCCAGAAAGAGAGTGATTTCCCCATGGTGTATCAAACATACTAACAGTGTAGTGGAAACTAGAACATAATGGCTTTATACTGTTAATTTTTCATCCCGTAAGTATCTGACTTTTAAAGATTCTTCTGAAAGCATATCCAGATACATTAAAGTTTGTAAATGCAGTGACAACGTTAAACACTCTCTCTCTGTCTCTCTCTCTCTCTCTCTCTCTCTCTCTCTCTCTATATATATATATATATATATATATATATATATATATACACAGACACACATACATGCATACCTGTGGCTTTTTTTTTTTTGTTTTTTGGGTTTTTTTTTTTTTTTGGTATTTTGAGGGTCTCATTGTGTAGTTCAGGCTGACTTTGAGTTTACAATTTAGCCCAGGCTGGCCTTGAACCCTCACCCATTATCTTGCCTCAACTTCCTGAGTGCTGTGATTACAGGGATGTGCCATCATGCCTGGCTTCTTTTATTTATTTATTTATTTTGTAAGCCTTGCAGATTCTGTCAGGCTGAATGGATTGGCATTATTTTGAAGATGAAAGTCACTTGAAAGACTATTTTAAGGAAATAATTGATATGCTTTATTTAAGAATTTATGCACAATTATTTTTGTGTATGGTAGTGTTAGACAAAAATACCAATTGAGACTTAGAAAAAATACATAAAATATACAAGGGCAGACTTAAATTAGACATCTTTGAACTGGGGCCTCAATTTATTACCCTCTAATTTTAGAGTATACCTCTTAGAAAAACACGTGAAATAACATATTGTAAAGTTAATGTTTCTTTAATTTTGATTTGCTAAAATTCTCATTTTTAGAATTTTAAATAGTTTTCATCTTTCTCTTGCCATTATATAGTGAAAGAATGATGTGCTTTAGAGTTAGAGACTTAATGTATCCTATTCACTGTTTATCTGTGGTTATAGACAAATTATTCATAGTTCTCATCTGTAAAGTGTGAGAATAATATTTGATAGAATCGTTGTCAGATTTAAATGAGATGATGTATTTTAAAATCAGTTTCAGGTTACATAGCCATGGGAGAAATAGTAATTGCTATGTTGGCTACAGGCCCATTGTATGGGCCTATAGTTCCAACTTGATTTTGTATTAGCAATTATGAAAGATTACAATTTTATTTATTATAGAATTGAATTATCCATGAGTTTCTGTATTAGCCTTGTGATCCTTCTAGGAAAGGGGCAAAATAGTGTTGTTCATCAATATGTCTCTAGTCAGAGATAGTGGTGAGTTCTTAATATTCAGATGGTTTATGCTGCATTGTTCTATCATAATAGATTCATTTTGATCCTTAGGTGATCTGAAATAGTATTCTTAGCTAAAGGAGGTCCCTGCCTAGGACTTTTCTCCAATTTGAGAATCCTGAAATATTATACAACATGTTAATCTTTTAAAATTAAAGACTTATGTGGAGGCTGCCTTCCTTCCATTTGTTTTATTTATATTTTCTTCAATTTTACTTTAAATATTTCACCCTAACAGAGAGATGAATGTATGTTTTATCCAGAGTGAAGTGCTAAGTTGAGAGTACTACAGATACGGAGAAATGCCAACGGGTGCTTAGAACCTTCCATACTTCTAGTTCAGTGATTCTTCACTTTGGCTCTTGTGACCCCCAGTGTGGAATATTTCCATCTGTAGATCTGCTTGCATGGTATGGGCTTGACTGCTAAAGAGTGGGAATAAGGACTTGGAGGCTCTTCAGTCAGAGGGAAGATTTTTACCTAACATCATTTCCCACTCTATTTTCATCCTAGCTTCTGTTCCAATTGTTGGGTCCTCAGTGTTTTCTAGAGGAAGTCTGCCTCTGGTCTATAGCAGGGATAAGTTGGGAGTATTTCTTTAGTTGTGTGATGGATGGGAGAGGGTACTTGGGCACCTAGTTGCTCCATATAACTATCAGCATGCAGTTCCCTTGTGGGTTCAGCCCTGTATCCATCCTGTACATTTAAAGGCCTATCCTGAGTGTCTTTGTCCTAAGTGTCTTTTTGAGTTGTGTGACACCTGTCCCATTCCTTTCTGTGTTATGTTTATTTTACCTGATTTATGTGGCCTTTATCATCTTTTCATTGTTTTCTATTTTTCCAGAATTTATTGAAGTCCTTTTTTCCTTATTTAGATTTACTTTTTGCTTTTTAAAAAAATTCCTTTGTAGATATTTTGATGCATTTCAGGAGAGAGAAAAACAAACTTTTAAATCTGTCTTGTCTAATTGGATACCTGAAAACTTGATGGAGTATTTTCTTCCTGTTGGTTTGAACCAAAGCATATTAGCAGACCGAATAATTGAACAAAAAATTTGTCAGTTGTTTATATTCTTACATTTTTTATTTCTTATTAGTGATTAAACTCTTGTATTGCCTTTCAGATTTGATAAGTACGGTATTTTTATTAATCCTTATTTGTACCATTGATTACCTTGTTTCCCTCCAGATTGGCGTCTTGCTTTCCCACAAAAGAATGTACTTGTATTATTTTTTTTTATTTTAAAAGTGATGTAATTTCAGTGTACACAATTTAGTATATATAGAAACATATAAGCTGGGTGTGGTGGCACACACCTGGGAGGCTAAGGCAGGAGGATCGGTGTGAGTTTGAGACCAAACCTGGACTACAAAGTGAGCTCGAGGCCAGTGTGAACTGCATAGCGAGACCCTGTCTCAAAAAGATTAAAAAAAAAAAGGAAAAAGAAAAAGAAAGAAGGAAAAATATAAAGAAGAAATAAAAATCACCTGGATATAATTACCATTATCATTTTACTATATTTATTTTGATTCCTGTTTTCCTTTCCATTCATATTGTTTTAAAATATATAAACATGGAGTTAATGTTTCATGTGTATGATTTAAAAAGTTTATTTAAAAGTATGTACCAGTGTTCTAAGCATTTATTTAATAAGGTCTAGTTTTTATCCTGCTTATTTTTTAAAATTTTATGAGTTTATATTGTTAATTGTTCTTCTAAATATGGCTGCATAGTGTTCTACAACTTGGATACTGTAATTTTTCCTTATTTCCTAGTGGCAAATATTTTAAC